ATTAAGTGATCAATTGTTAAGGGGACTCATATAACTCAATGCAGTGAACATACCTTACACTCTTGCCTCTTATTTTTCCCCACAGTCGCCACCCTGTGAGGTGAAGTGGGCTGAGAGAGCCCAAAGTCACCCAGCTAGTAGTAGGCACTTGACAACAAAAACGTATCCACTTTGAAATAGGAAGTGTGTTTGAAGATATTTTATATGCTTAACAAAACGTTCCCGATTATATTTGTCATACATATATGACCAAAAAAATGTTCCATACACTCAGGTATGGCATGATTTTAAAATACCAGGCAGCTCACTGAAAAAGCCTGATTGAGGCAAACTAAGATAAGGCACCGGAGACATCCAGTGGAGAGAAGCGTGGCATATATATCTGGTAAATGAAAAAAGTCATCAACTTTGCTGACTCTGGTTCCTTTGGATGCAGGGGCGCTGTACCTGGGTTAATCCCTATCAAAAATCAGAGGAAGAGGAGGAAGAAGAGGATGAAGAAGAGAAACAAGAAGAGCCTGAAGAGTTACAGGAAACAGGGCCTCCTCTTCTCACACCACTTTCTGAAGATGCAGGTACCACAGCAAAAATCTCACCTGGCTGATTCTCTTTTCTTCTTAAGTTCTGGGAACATGGATTGTTTGGGCAGTGAGAAAGCAGGCGATAGTCGACCACTGAGTGATTTTGTTAAATCAACTTATCATATGGTACATAATTAAACTTTTTTAATACTGTGTTTCCCCAAAAATAAGACACTGTCTTATATTTTTTGAACCCCAAAATAAGCACTTGGCTTTATTTTCAGGGAAGTCTTATTATTTTGGGGCACGTGGAGCAAGATGGGATTCCTCTTGCCGTCCTACCTGATTTCCAGCTCTGTCTCCCTAACTCTAAAGAGAGAAAATGGCGGGGACCGGCTGTGCATGCAGTTTAATCTTTTCGGGGTGAGCTTATTTTCAGGGGGGGCTTATTTTAGCGCATGCACTCAAAAGCCCAATTGGGCTTATTATCCGGAGAGGTCTTATTTTAAGAGAAACAGGGCAGAAGGATGTATTTTTCTACATATAAGACTATGGCTTCTGATCTTTTTCTGTAAGTTTATCCTGACACCATAATTTGGTACAAAATATTTCTGATATCCCAAAATCGATTTGTTCTTAACAGATATTCAAAGTATCAGCCCATGGTCTTCTGACGCTTCCACACATTTAGTTCCTCAATATGCTCTTGCTGTCCTTCAAGCTAACTTGTGGCCTGGAGCATATTCCTTTGCTGTTGGAAGGTAGGCAATAAGGTTCAATGTAATGTTCTGATTATTTCCAATTATAAAATCTCTGTTCTGTAATTTTCCATCTTAATCAACGGTTGATTTACTTAATTTATAGAGAAGTGACAAGACACGGTTTTTGTAGTTTTCACTAAAATCAAGCCAGTGAGATCTACTAAGGACTGCAAACGTTTATCTTTTCCACAACAAAATTTGGAATCAAGCCAGGCAATTTGGTATCCATGAATATAATACAATGCATCCTTTAGGCCTTCCTTTTTCAAGCTATACATTGTAGCACTGATCAGTTAGAAACAAATTAAGAAGTGTGGGACTCATTCTCTGTCCATTAGCAAGATAACTCTCTGAAAACAGGACAGAATGGGATGGAATTTGCTGTGGGAATGAGAAGCCAATTTTCAAAATAGGTTGCAACCAGCCAGTGTCTACACAGAAAAAAGTCCAGGGAAAAAACTTCCAGTAAACCCAGTGGTGGAATTCATTTTTTTTACTATTGGTTCTGTGGGTGTGGCTCGGTGGGCATGACAGGGGATGGATACTGCAAAATATCCATTCCCATCCCACTCCAGAAGGATGCTGCAAAATACCCATTCCCTCCCCACTCCTGGGGGAAGGATATTACAAAATCTCCATTCCCATCCCACTCTGGGGCCAGCCGGGCAGGATGTTCCTAATAGATCTCCCTTTGTAAAGTTTCTACCTATTGAATCAGCGGTTCGAATCCCTAATGCTGCGTAACGGGGTGAGCTCCCATTACTTGTCTCAGCTTCTGCCAACCTAGCAGTTCGAAAGCACGTAAAAAATGCAAGTAGAAAAATAGGGACCACCTTTCGTGGGAAGGTAACAGCGTTCCGTGCGCCTTTGGCGTTTAGTCATGCCATTCACACGACTACGGAGATGTCTTCAGAGAGTGCTGGCTCTTCCGCTTTGAAACAGAGATGAGCACAGTCTCCTAGTCAGGAGCGACTAGTAATTACGTGCGAGGGGAACTTTTACCTTTACAGTTGTAACATTACGGGTGGTCTTACTTTTGTTGGTATGGAATTGGAAAGGATTGCAGAAACCATGATTTTCCTACCTATCCTTTCCAACTGAACATACTGCAGGGAACAAATGATATAAAATGATCAGAATTATTGCCTTGCGTTCACCAGCATAACAGCCTTCTGAAAACTGAACAGAGTGGGACCAAATTTGGTGTGAAGCTGGCTAAAGAAAGGTTAGATTTTTTTAAAATGTGTCAGACTGAATTGAGAGTATGAAGAAAAAAATCCAGAAAAAAAAATATTCAATGAATCTCAATGGAAGAGACACACCTTTGTTCTAAGTCTCTCTCCTTCCCAGGCATGTGACTTAGCCTGGATGAATTATTAAGAGATTGCAAAGAGTTCCCAAAGTCATTTTCTTCATACTTTCCTCAACTTGTTCACACTAAGCCCAAACTAGAAGTACACCAATAATGTTTTGTTGACAGCTAGTTGTGTAGGCAGGGGAATACCACTCTACATATTTTTAAAGCAATAATCATGCATCTGTTTTCTGAGAATGGATTTCTTTGAACTGAAGAAAACTTGAATAGATGTTCTGCAGTGTACACAGAATAGACAAAGGAGAAAACCTGGTAAGATACATATAGGTGATCAGTTGTTCCCATTCTGGTGCATTCGTGGTCATGTTGGCTAGAAATTCTGAGGCTTGGAAGTCCCAACTTGATTGGGAAAGAGTGATATACATTGCCAGGTGAGAGGGGGCTGGAGGAGAGGCTTCACTAATTAGATGTCCATTTTTAATAATGTTAAGAGTCTTCTGCTTTTTGTTTTAGGAAATTTGATAACATTTACGTTGGCTGGGGTCACAAATACAGTCCAGAAAATTTCAATCCTTCATTGCCACCCCCAGTGCAGGGCGAATATATTATTGGACCTGAAGTCACGGAAGGACTTGATCCAACTGTGGAAGAAGAGATGGCACTCAAGGCTGCACAAGAGGAGGCACTGGAAGCGGAAGAAATGGAAGAAATGGAGGAGGAGGAAGACGAGGATGAGGATGATTAAGTTCAAAAATTCTGTTATAATAGTTTTTGTTAAGGATAAAATTTTCTATAAATGTATTCTGATAAACACTGTATTGTATAATACATTATTTGTAGTACTTTTGATGAGTAAATCAAAAATAAAACTCTAAAAACTTTTTTTTTAAAGCAGTTTGGAATAGCAATAAACCTCAATTTTGAATTAAATTTGTTTCCAGCAATTGTAATATATCATCAAAACAAAAAGAGTAAATGTTTAATAGCTTATTAAAAAAAATTTATTTTTATTTTTATTTATTTTTTTAATTTCATTTATATGCCGCCCTTCTCCAGAGACTCAGGGCAGCTTACAATGCGTTAAGCAATAGCCTTCATACTTTTGTATATTTATACAAAGTCAGCTTATTGCCCCCACAAACTGGGTCCTCATTTCACCTACCTTAGAAAGGATGGAAGGCTGAGTCAACCTTGAGCCTTGGAGAGATTCGAACCAGCAGTAAATTGCAGGCAGCTGTGTTAATAACAGGGTGCGTAGACCACTGTACTATCAAGGCTCTTAACTATTTTATTTCAATAAGGAAACAATTTCTTAAATATGGAACCGGTGGCAATCTTAAAATAACTCACAAACCTTGCTTAAAGCCAGATGCAATAAGACAAAAGGGTGATATCGTATGTTCATAAACCAGCTTTTCACAAATATGAGATGCCCATACATATTGTCTATATTATTCCAAAGAAAACATATTTTACACAAATCCTTGTCCTTATTTTCCAAGCTCATCATCTTGAACATATAAATCTTTGCCATTCTTCCTTTCTTCCAAATGCAATCAATCATACCCATATTTAATTTTTTATTTCCTTACAAGGTTACGTGGATTAGCCATATAACTGCCACAGCATTTCAGTCTGATCTGTTAGGCTGATGTAACTGATTGGGCCTTCTGGTTCCCTGCATCACACAATCCCAGATCATGCTTGATCATGCTTAGCCATGGTCAGTGTAAGTAAGCATCATGGTTTGATTTAGCAAACCATGATGCTTACACTGACCATGGCTAAGCAATGATCAATTAACACAGCCATTGTTTGTAAACTGGCAGATGACAGAGGAAGCGGAGACACTATCTGAACCAGCCCCCAAACTGGGGCATCATTAAGAGTGAAAGATAACGAGCTGGAGTCCCACGAATTTCTTTGCATTCCCTTTCTGGTCTACGCGTCGAAAGCGGCTCCTGCACGGAAAACCATCAAAAAGACCTCTCGTTTTGCAGGGTTTAACATAAGGACTCCTTCAGCCAATCAGCACTCGCCTTCGCTTTTCTTCGGTCTTCTAAGCCCCGCCTTTTTAACTCTATCCCCACCGCCGCTTTTTTTTTTTTTTTTAAAGGAAAATAATACGAAATATGTATATATCGTCGCTCATTTTTCAGGCTTTTCCTCACAGGAAGAAAAGCGATCGGAATCCATGCAACATGGATTCCTCCCATAATGATTAATGACACCCCTTTTCTTCCTTACCACCCCTCAAGAGGTTGGATCCATTCGCCCTTTGCTATACGACCCTCGCTGGAATAATGGTTCAGTCCACCTCGGGAGGAAATGCTTCGCCAACCGACCAATTGGAATCTTGCCTCGCCAACCGACCAATCGGAAGAGTCCCGGGAGAAAATTCAAACACTGAAGCTCAATTTTAAAAGATAAGTCCTAAGAAGCGAGGCAAGATGGCGGAAGAAGGCGGCGTTACCGTTTGCGTGAGAGTGCGGCCACTTATTGCAAGGTGGTTTTATTTTTGTTCCTATGTTTAGATATGGGTTGCCTTTTTTAATTTGCTGTTTCGGGGTCTTTGATCGTCAGTTTTGCAGCCCTCTTTTCCTCCAGTTCAATGTAGCATTTGTAGGATTCTCCTTTCCAATTTTCCCTTGTAGTACAGAACTTATGAAAGTAAGTTAAATGGAGAGACAGAGAAAGGAGGAACTGACTTTATTCAATATTATACATAGGGAGGGAATAAATCGCCCCCCTCACCCCCCCATCCAGGGGTCAGTACGGTGAAATGTTTAATATTAACTACCAGGACGAGATGGGAGAATGGGGAGTGAGCAGCAGCTTTGAGCTTTGCTCTCCTTTTTACTCTCTATTTTTATCCTTTTAAAAAAATACTCTTTCTGCTTTTAAATCAGTTTTTAACTTTGAACTTTGTTCTCCTTTTTACTCTGTTTTTATTTTATTTTAATTTTTTTAAAAAAAACACTTTACTTTTAAATCAATTTTTAACTTTGAACTTTGTTCTCCTTTTTACTCTATTTTTATTATTTTTACTTTTACTTTTTAAATCAATTTTTAAATTTTAAAAGCTTCAATTTTACTACTTGAGAGGTTTATCTTTTACTCCCAACTTTTACCCCAGTTTTTTACTCCCAATTAGTAAAGCATTTAGTGAATGAGAGGAGAAAGTTTTCTCTACTAAGCAAACTAGTTATCCATGGCTGCGACAACGCCCAGAGAACCTAAGATAAAAGACTTTTTTTCAGATAACGGACACTGCAAATAAGTCTCCTTACTTGTAATAGCCATTCAAGAAACCTGGTTAACCGAAGTGGACGAATCAGTACACCTGCCAGGCTTTCAGGGATCCGCCTCCCCAGCTCAAAAAACAAAGGGAGACCCTCTGGTGGGTTATGCATTCTTATAAAGCAAGAGTTGCAATGGCAGGGGTAGAAACTATACAACGAAGACAAGTATTTGTACTTCCTAGCTGTTAAATTTGGATATGAAGGGTTCGAGTTAATACTGGTAAATGTGTATATCCCTCCAAACACATCCCGGTATTATAACTCTGAATAAAGGATGGGCTTGGAAGTTATCCTAGATCAGTGATGATGAACCTTTTTTCCGTTGCGTGCCAAAAGCGGGGGGAGCGCGGGGAGTCCCATGCATGCCCACACCCATAATTCAATGCACCCCGCCACCCCACACCTACGCGCATGCATGCACGACCCCCGCTTTTGGCACATGATGGCCCGGTAGGTCCATGCTACCAAGTGGGCTAGAACAATCCAGTCATCTACTACTGACTGGCTGTCAGCCTTCAATGCATTCTCTAATCTCTCTAATATTCTGAAGAAACACCTAACAACTAAACCTGCTACAAAAAGAGCCCGGGTGGGTAGACCCCGTTGGTTTGATCCTGAATGCCAGCGACTGAAAAAGTAATTGAAGGCAGCCATGAGGCTCACCCAGAGGAATCCTACTGTTCATATACAAGCTGAGATGTTGCACACAAGAAGGGAATATTAAAAAAATTATAACATTAAAGAAAAAAATGTTTTGCCATTTCAATCTGGTCAGAATTTGAGTTGGCTGCCAGAAGTCACAACTCAGTAATATTTTGGCGCTCTGTAGCAGGTGTTCTGAAGGAACGGAGATTTGCTTTTGACATACCAATCTCTGCTGAGGACTGGGAGAATCATTATCACTGTTTGTTTGCTTCCACGGAACCTGCAGAGAAACTGTCCTTAAGCAGTGATCTAGTAAACCCTAGAACTTCCCCACCCCCACCCCCTTGGCCACCAGTCTCTGAAAAGGAGATACAATCCATCATTAAAATCTTAAAGAGCAATAAAGCCCCAGGTGAGGATTTTTTACCAGCGGAATTATTCAGGAAATTTCCCAATTGGTGGGTCCAGTATTAGCAGGTCTTTTTACACATATAAATAATACCTGCCATATACCAGATGGTTGGAAGATGGCAATAGTTGTCCCCATATATTAAAAAGGATAGGCCCATTACCCTATCTAAAATTAGAGCATATAATTACTGGTGCAAAGTCTATGAAATGGAGACTGAGCAAATGTCTACTAGAGCAAATAAAATTGCAATCACAAATCTCCTGGATCACTAAATTAACAAATTTTGTAAGAAGCTGTGGCCATCCTGTCTCTTGCATAACAGGAGAACGATTTAAAAAAAGGATATATGAGCACAAAATGATATAGCTATCCTAAGTGGGTAACTTGAAATGGCTGAGCAAACACAAACATACTTTTCAAATAGATATTTGAAATTACAACTGCCAAAACATCATAGGGAAATATTTACGCGAGAGAGATTTGAACAGCTTGACACAATGGTCAGATATGGGAGATTCCATTCTATACCCTACAATGAGCGTCTGCGTTTGCGGAGCGGCAGAGGTAGAAGACCTGGCTCACATCCTATTTGATAGTTGCTTGTATAAGGGGGTGAGAGACAGGTACCTTGGTCTGTATACCAAACGAATGACCCATTGGGATCCCCATATCAAAACAACTTACTTTATGTGCGGCCAGAACCTGAAAATAACATTTAACACAGTACTTAAACAAAATGGTTCAGTTGAGATCTGCATACGTGGGACCGATTGGGGTAGATTGTAAGGGTGACACCGAAATACAATTTTATGTCATTTTATCTTATATTATAACTATTGTATTTTATCCTACTCTTATTTTAAATTGTTTGTATAGGATTTTATTGGTGATATGTATTTGAACTTTGTGCTTTGATATGGCCTATAGGCTAATCAATAAAGCTAAAAAACCCAGTATGATCTGGATGATTTCGATTCAGGTCTGACCTGTCTGTTCTATGTAGTTTTCCTGAAAATGCTTCTCTGTCTAAAATGCACTTATTATGGAGAAAATCTATCTGGTTACTAAGAATCAGCAGACTTGATGGCACATAATCAATCTGAAGACTTCTAATTTCCATTATTCCCATTTACAGTTGGGTAAAACTGAACTCTGTGTACTCTTTCTCATGTTAGTTTACATACCAGCTAAGAGTGTAGTATGCATTTTCTAGAAGTTTTGACGTCAAGAAACTATAAACCTTGTGTACTTGTGTGAGATCCACCAATTTAAAGCTCATTAAGGGGCATATATCAATTTTTAGGGAAAAGGTTTCTCTTTATTCCTGAAATAATCTACTCACCTGAAAACCTTGATTCGTTCTTTCAGAGAAAATGAAGACCTTGATGAAAAAGGACAGGTTTCATGGAAAAGTGAAGACTGCACTGTATCACAAATAGATGGAACCAGGTCATTTGTCTTTGGTAAGCTCTTGATAACTCCAGAAATGTGTATTTGTGTGGTTTTCAGCATGAGTATATGTAAAGTAGAGAAGAATTTACAAATGGAATGTCTTGGATTAATTAAAAATGCCATACTAAATGTACTAATTAACCCTCTTGATCTTTGCGCATTTTATACAATAGTGGGATTCAAAAAAATTTACTACCGGTTCTGTGGGCGTGGCTTGGTGGGCGTGGCTTGGCTTAGTGGACGTGGCAGGGAAGGATGCTGTAAAATCTCCATTCCCTCCCCACTCCAAGGGAAGGTTACTGCAGAATCCCCATTTCCTCCCGATCAGCTGGGAATTGGGAGGTAGAGAGTAGATGGGAGCAGAGCCAGTCAGAGGTATTTACTGGTTCTCCGAACTACTCAAAATTTCCGCTACCGGTTCTCCAGAACTGGTCAGAACCTGCTGAATACCACCTCTCATTTTATATGTGTATAGCAGATGCATATTAATTTTCTTTAGAAGAAGCATTGAATATCATTCATTGTTTCGGTAATCTGTAACCCAATCTGTTTCTCTGGTAGCTGAAGGTGGCATATATGAAGGGAGGATGTCACTCTTCTTTCTATGCCCAGAAAAATGACTCCTATAAATGTATGGATGAATAATATTTTGACTTGTTTAGTTGCATTGGATGCACTGGTATCTTCTGCTAATATTGTTCACGCTACATTCAATACTACCTTTCATTTTTACCTCCCAAGAAATAGCTGTTTTTTTGGATCCATTAGCTCTAAAAATCAGGAGACTATGAATTCTAGACTTGACGTGGGCACAAAAATCGGCCTTGTCACTTTTTCTTAGCTCAATCCATCTCACAGCATTGTCATTGTGGAGAAAAGATTGATAGATATATAGGATCAGTAGGTTTGCTTACTGATGACAAAAATAAAGATGAGACAAAAAGCTAATTAATGAAAAACATGAATAATTTTCTCTGTTGATGCTTAAACATCAGAAGAGCCCTTCTTGGAATATGGTAGATTTTTACAGAGGCTATCATTTTTGTGATACATTTGTTACTTTTCTCCTTGCTGGGCAACCTAGTTGTCTCTTGAGTTTTGACAGTTAAAACATAACTTGCTATGATTGTTATTCCGTTTTCAGCAAATGTTTTAAATTACAAATGAGGTTTTCCTGTTAATTCTTTCAAGTTTTTATCTCTTCTTTGGCTTTTCTGCTCTCAAACTGATTTCATTTTTTAGTTCCTTCTTTGGAAATTTTTGGATCATAATTTTTGTTCTTCTATTTCTGGTGAATTTTCCTACATCTTCATTTGTCCCCCAGAGTGGAGAGGGTTTCCTCTTTTAAATTCTTGGGAGTGATCATTGGTCAAGATCTCACCTGGAAAAACAACATGTCCCTGGTGGTTAGTAAGGCCCAACAGAGACTACATTTCCTTAGAGTCCTGCGGAAAAATCATGTGGAACAACAGCTGATGACTTCTTTCTATCGGTCCACGATAGAAAGTGTTTCACATACTGTATAACAGTATGGTAAACTGGTTTAACAGCTGCGGACAGGAAGGCACTACAGAGAGTGATCAATTCGGCACAAGAAACCATTGGTTGCCCACTAACACCACTGGATGACATCGCCAGGACTCGCTGTTTCAGCAGACTAAGAAAGATACTTAGGGATGATTCACACCCTGGCCAGGGTCTCTTTTCACTTTTACCATCGGGAAGAAGACATTGAAGTAGAGCCAGCCAGACAAAAAGGTTTAAAAACAGCTTCTACCCATGGGCTGTCAGACTCCTAAACACAATCACAATCACTCCACGTACATATGGAAATTTATGACTAGGGTTTTCCCCGCCAATTACATGTATAAATTGGGAATTGTATTGTCTTGTATTTTCTGTTATGGATTGCCACCAGGGTGGATTTGATTTAAATCAACTCTATTTAAATCATAATTTTTAAAGAGCAACTGTCATCTCTGCTACTCCTTTGACCCACTGTTGACTCACCAATAGTCCCAGTGTTGCAGAATATACAGCCTCATGCTACATAACTAAGCTCCATTTCATGCTGAATAAATTAAATTATTTATGTATCTTAAATAGAAAACTATATTACGATAGATTTTTACCCCAAAAGTTTTTTATTAAAATAAATTCGATAAAAATAAAAAAAAATCCGATTTAAATTTAAAAAATCTGATTTTTTTTTAAAAAAATCATTGATTTTTATCCACCCTGATTGCCACCAATACGCTAAACCAATTTTGTTGTATACATGATGTATAATGACAATAAAGGCGATGATGATGATGATGATGATGAATACAGTGCATTTCCTAGGTTATATTCAGAATAAAAAACTGTATAATCATTAAACAGGATACTGTATGAAGGATAATACTTGTGATTTAGCTTAAACCAAATAATTATACAAATGCTAATACCTATCATACAGGTCAGTCTGCACTACTATTAATCTTCTCATTGTTCCCACCACCCATCTCCTTCCCCTTATGACTGTAACTTTGTTGCTTACAATTTATATTGATATTGTTTCCTGATTGCTTATTTGTACCCTATGACTACCATTAAGTGTTGTACCTTATGATTCTTGACGAATGTATCTTTTATTTTATGTACACTGAGAGCATATGCACCAAGACAAATTCCTTGCGTGTCCAATCACACTTGGCCAATAAAAAAGAAAAAAAAATTCTATTCACAATTGTTGCTCATTATTGGCATAATACATCCTCAAGCAATTGATTTTGGAAGGCTGCGTGTGCAAAGCTGCTTCAGCTTACAAAATACTGACAGTCCTTGATTTACCACAATTGAGCCCGAAATTTGCTTTTAAGGAAGACAAGTTTTGCTCCATTTTATGACCTTTCTGGCCACAGTTAAGTAAATCACTGCAGTTGTTAAAGTTAGTAACATGGTTAAGTGAATCTGGCTTCCCCATTGGACTTTGCTTGTTAGAAGATCACAAAAAGTGATCACATGACCCCAGGATACTGCAACTGTCATAAACGGGAGTCAGTTGTCAAGTGTCCAAATTTTTAATCCTGTGACCATGAGGATGCTGCAACGGTTGTAAGTTTGATAAATGGTCATAAGTCCGGTTTTTTTCAGTGTCATTGCAACTTTATGAAATAGTCACTAAATGAATGGTTGTAAATCGAGGAATACCTGTATTCACCTGATGATTTTTCAGGGACTGGCCACAGTGCCTACAGATTAATTTTTTTGCTTTCTTTTGAAGATCGTGTGTTCCACTCTAACAACAGTACAAAGGAAGTCTACCAAGGTGTGACTGCTCCTATTATCAAGTCGGCAGTTCAAGGATACAATGGTACTTTAAATAATAATCCTTGTGCATATTTCCGCGGGTGGCTATTAATTTGAACTAATCATTCTCCTTCTTTTTAGGGACTATTTTTGCTTACGGTCAGACAGCTTCAGGCAAAACGCACACAATATTGGGTACCAAAGATGGTCCAGGTATCTTACCCATGGCAATTAATGATGTCTTCAATACCATCTGCAGTGTAAGTGATTCCACTGAACGTTTATATTTCAGCTACCCAAGGCTTTTGCAGAAATGACTGGTATTGAAACTGCAGCTGAGTTCCTAGCTTCTCATGCCAGCATTTTTCAGGCTGCATGTCATGTTTGTCATCCTAGAAGCTGCAAGAAAATGAATGGAAGGTTATCAGAATGGAAGGTTATGCCTCTCGTTTTCCAGCCCCATGCAACAATATGCTGAATTCAAAGTAGCTTTCCAGAGCCCATTGTAGAAGATGTGAATGTTCTTCTGATTTAATACTACTTGTGTATCTTTTAAAGGCGTGATCAGGGAGGCTTTAATGCAAAGGTCTGGCTATCTGACTCAATCTGCAGTGTGCACAGAGGATTACTGTGGAAGAGAAGAGAGGCTGGGGTATATCAAGGAGGCTGCCAGAGCCAAAAGCAAACTATAATATGCTCAGAGCACTTATTGGGAAGTGCGCTCTTCTGTTCACAAAAAGTTGGGGTCATAGTAGCAGTAGCAGACTTATATACCACTTCACAATGCTTTGCAGCCCTCTCTAAGCGGTTTACCGAGTCAGCATGTTGCCCCCAAGAATCTGGGTCCTCATTTTACCGACCTCAGAAGGATGGAAGGCCAAGTCAACCTTGAACCTGGTGAAATTCAAATTGCTGGCAGTCAGTAGAAGTAGCCTGCAGTACTGCACTCTAACCACTGCACCACCAAGGCTCATATACAGTATAGCGAACATATTGGAAGGCTAGATAAAGAAATTTGGAGTAAAGTCATTGGTTTGCTTTCAGGTGTAACTAGCCATACCTGGAAAATAATTTTGCATGAGTGCCCATGATACAGGTTGTCCTTGACTTACAACCATAATTGGGACTGGAACTTCCATTGCTAAGCAAAGCAGTTAAGTGAGCCGCCTATGATTTTGTGATCTTTTTTTTTTTTTTTTAATTCTGCAGTTGGTAAGCAAATATGGCTTCCCTCAATGACTTTGCTTGCTGGGAAAGTCTCAGATAGTGATCATGTGTTCCCATTGTAAACTGCCAATTGCCAAGCACCGGGATAATAATGACCATGGGGATACTGCGATAGTTGTAAGTGGGAGGATGGTCATAAGTCGTTTTTTTAAAAGTGTTGTAATTTTGAAAAGTCATAAGTCAAGGACTACCTGTATGCTTTTAAAATTCAAAATAACAGCTAAGAGCCTCTTTCACCAAGTTTTTTAGTCACAGAAAGATTAGTGTTTAAGGTCACTATCTAGGGGAGCACATTCTTAGGACTGTCACAAGTTGAGTTAAAAGACTCTTTGACCACAAAATTCTTATGAAGAAGGCTGTGTTGTCAATGTATAAATTTGCCTTTCTTTAGCCACCAGTCCTCTGGTGTTGGACTATCATCACCGCTGACAGATGACTTGATGAAATTAGAGTTGTAGTCTAACAAATAATAAGGCATGGCTGGAATACAAATACGAAAGCTTTGTGATAAATGGCATTGTCATTAAGAATGTATCTGTGGAACAAGTTGTCTTCAAACTTATTGATGAACGTAATGTCTCGTAATTTTTAGATTCCAGATAGGGAATTCCTGCTCCGTATATCATACATGGAAATTCATAATGAAACTATACAAGACTTGCTATGCAGTAACATTAGGAAAAAGAAGTCATTGGTTGTTCGTGAAGACATCAATGTAAGTACATGAGGCTGGACAAATCCACACCTCTAATGCGGTTCTCTAGCAAGCCTCCCCATTGCAGCCACTCCTTCACTAGTCTCAAGTATTCTGGGTTCTTCCCAGGCTGGCCAGGGTTTTCTGAAGGTTTTATTCATGGTTAAGTCAAAATCAAACATTGAGCCCAGTTATGTATGCAAGTACAAAGCACAATACTCACAACTGTTAAAGTTGATTGGTATAATAATCAGATGTTTCATTCTCTTCTAGAGGACAATCTATGTTGAAGATCTGAATGAAGAAGTAGTGGTTTCTCCAGAAGAGGTTATGAGCTGGCTGAAGAAAGGAGAAAGTAAGTTTTGCTCTCTGATAATGGTTTAAATGCACCGATCATTATATGCAAATCTCAGATTTCTAGATCTGTTAAAAGTCAGGTTTCCGTATCTGCAAATGAATATATAGTACCTTCAATACACTTTTCTTTATTGGCTCCTCTCTGCAGATGAATATTCCCCATAAATAAAATCTGTCTTTCTTGTCCACATGGGCAACATACTCCTATATGCTCACATATACACTTATAGCACTTTGACTTATGTATCACTCCATAGTGTGTAGCGCACTCTGAGTGGTTTACAACATCAGCATATTGCCCCCAACATTCTGGGTCCTCATTTTACCAACTTCAGAAAAATGGAAGGCTGAGTCAACCTTGAGCCAGTCAGGATCAAACTCCAGAGTGTGGTTGGAGTTTGTAAAATAGAGTTTGCACTCTAACTACTGCATCACCAGCACTCCTATATAACTTTCTTTCTCCATTCCTCAGGCATACATGCAAACATGTGCATGCACATAGCAATGAAGCCACTATGCTGAATTAGCCATTAGTGGTATAGTACACTTTAGCCCTTTTCTTGAAAATAAAAGAGTAGGAACTTGCTGTGCTGCTACCCCTGTTCACAGCGGGAGTGGGGTGATCTTCAGTTGTTTGGAGGAAATAAAGGGCTGCTCTAAGAGTTCCCAGAAAAGAAGTACAAAATTGGAGGGGTTGGTTCTTTTATTCCTAACAAAATAACAAGAGTTGGAAGGGAAGTTGGAGGCTGTGTAGGAGTTCAGTGGGTATGGGATGTGGGGAAAGGGAGTCAGCTGTGTTTGCAGGCACCAACTGCTGAGGTCTATTTTATGGGAAATGAGAATAAGTAAAGAGAAAATCCAGTATAAGAATAATCTGTATCTAATGTTTCTTCTAAACAGAAAACAGGCACTATGGTGAGACAAAAATGAATGAAAAAAGCAGCCGTTCTCATACAATTTTTAGAATGGTAAGTGATTGCTAATTTTTGTGTTCCTGCCTACATTTAGTTCATGCCACAGTGTTCAGCAGCATCTGCCATGCAGCTAAATAAATAACCACATTACTCAGAATGTTGAATGGCACATATTTTCCACCAAGTAAATAAACCTGGGCTGAAGACCATATAGATTGAAGCACTTTAGTTCTTAGTGACTCCTGTAGGAGAAATAAGGCCACAGGTCTGATGAAGAAAATCCTGGCCTCAAGGTTTTGGAATTTATGGTGATAAATATAATGCTCCCTTGATGATTTTGAGGAGCATGGTCTTTATTTTTATTTGGCCAAACCATAAATCCTGTTCCCAGACAAATGGCTGTTCAGTTTTGCTTGAAAACTACACTGTCAGAACAGCCTTAAATCTTAGGAAGCAGGCTCGTTCAATTGATTGATAGTTCTCAAGGTCAGGAAGTTCTTCATTATTTTGAGTTTGGTTTCTCTGTGTAAAGACTTCATCCATTGATTCTTGTCCTATCACTGAAGAATCAATCTACATTCCTGCTGATAGTATTCCTATCATATCTGCCCTTGGCCGCCTTCAGACTTTGAATTGGGTTTTTATCTTCTAACAATATGCAGGAACTGATAAAGTAATCCCTTATAGCCATGATGGTGAACCTATGGCACGCGTGCCAGAAGTGGCACGCAGAACCATCTCTCCGGGCACGCGAGTTGTTGCCCGTTGCTCTTCCAGATTCCGTCGCACCGGCCAGCTGGTCTTCATGTGCACAGGAATGCCAGAAATCGGAAGAGCAGCAGACGGGAGCACATGTGCGCGCCGGGAAGATAATCTTCCGGTTTCCGGCACACACACTCCCGTTTCAGCAATTGGTGCCGGAAAGGTTCGCCAACACTGCCTTATGGGGAAGCATATGCTACAAATAGCTTCATTGTCTTGTGACTGAATTCTGAGGCAACATGGTTTTTGAATGGTGTCCAGCTAGGAAAGATTGCCTCCTGTCCCTTAAGGTAGGGGAAATTAAGCCAGTACACATACTGCACTAAAATTAATGTGATGTGTGATTCCATTTAAATTTTTGTCTAGTTCCCTAATGTATAAAGGTGTTTTTAAATCTGGTTTATGATATTATCTTTTTTTTTTTTTTTTAAGATCATTGAAAGTAAAGAAAAGCATACTTCTGGCTCAAGCTATGAAGGAGCTGTAATGGTTTCTCATTTGGTGAGTTATTTGTAATATGTCACAGGTTAAAATAAGTGGGATATGATAGTACACTGGTGTAACTTTATAAACATTAAGTACCAGTTATGTTCTGATTTATACTCGGGCTGGATAGGCTAATAAATTTCACCTGAATCAGACAAAAAAAATTGGGCCTGAGTACATGGGAAACCCCTCCCCAAGTCCCATCAACAGCTACCAGAACAAAGGAAAGGGGATAAAAGGGTCCTGAAGCCCACCCACTCTTTATTGTCCTTGGACCCAGACTTTGTGATTTCTGTCCCTCTGGATGGTGCTTGCCAGCCTAGTAGCATTGTAGCCAGTAAAGTTTGCTATTATTTTAAATTCAGTGTGTTCTAAAGACCAGTTTGTGCCTCAGTGTTCGCTGGAAAGTGATTTGAGTGTGGCTATTTTTCCAGTGCTGTGAATGTGTGAGTGAGTGAAGATAAGCTGAACTTGGGAGCACGTGTGTAAACTCTTGCTTTTTTTATATTGGCACTTTTTGAATTTCAGCAAGTTTGACTCATCAGTTCTAATATTCGACAGTGCTCTTCAGCAAGTTCCACTGAAGGCAAAATAGTTTAAATCAGGGGTGGGCAACTGTGGCCCTTTTACAATCTGTGGACTTCAACTCCCAGAATTCCTGAGACAGCCAAGCTGGCTCAGGAATTCTGGGAGTTGAAGTCCACAGGTCATAAAGGGGCCATATTTGCCCACCCCTGGTTTAAATAAAACTAAGCATAACAAATTCTGTCTCAATATTTCAGAATTTTGTAGATCTGGGAGGAAGTGAAAGAGCCAGCCAAACAGGAGCTGAAGGTATGTGTTTACTTCTCAGTGAGATTTTTGGTAATTCTATAGTAATTTGTTCCTAATTTATTGCCTTAAATAGACTACATTCATATCCTGCCATCTTCAAAGGCCCTCCTCAGACTGAAATAGTCATACATTAGGGTTCTACCTTTATCTTCTCCACATTAAAGTGAAAAGATTCTTCCAGAGGAATTCCTGTTTTGAATTACTCGATTTACAACAATTCATTTAGTGACTATTCAAAGGTACATGACTGAAAAAAGTGACTTGTGACCATTTTTTAACTTATGACCATTGCAGCATCCCCATGATGACATCATCAAAATTCAGACACTTGGCAACTGACTCATATTTATGACGGTTGCAGTGTCCTGGGGTCAGTCATCTGATCCCCTTTTGCCACCTTCTGACAAGCAAAGTCAATGGGAAGCCAGATTCACTTGACAGCCATGTTATTAACTTAACAACTGCGGCGATTCACGTAACAACTGTGACGAGAAAGGCTGTAAAACAGGGCAACATTCACTTAAACAAATGTCTCGCTTAGCACCAGAAATTTTGGGCTCAATTATCGTAAATTAAGGACTACTTGTAAACGTAGTCATGTGGGAATAGGGGGATAACAAATAATTGTCCATTCCTAAATGAACAGCTCTTAATAAAGGGCCCATACTGATCACTAGGAACTGAATGTTATATCTGCATCAAGTTACAATAGCCATTGTTGGCTAAAAATGTATGAATAAAATCACAATACAGTTATCTTTAATCTGTGCTAGATTGTGTTCTCACTTCTGTAATCATTAATGGTTATATATCTTAAACTATTAATGCCCTGCTATCAGAATGAACAAGTTTAAAAGGAAACTAGACAAATTCTTGGAGTAGAGGGCTATGAAGGGCTTCCAGTTGTGGTGCCTGTGTCATCTTTATTGCTGAGGTCCATACTCCCCAGTTCCAGATGTTGAAGAATCTGAATGGAGAATCGCATTTGCCCTTACTTTCTTGTAGGCTTTAAAACAGATCCATTCAGTTCACTTTTTCTTTGTGTTAATGCTGGATTGTGTAGTCTGTATATTTGATTCCGTACAAATCTTCCTATAGCCTTAAAATGAGAACTGATTTATGATGCCGTAAATCAATACAGCAATGACTGAAATGGTGCTTTTTATGTATGTGCTTAGGGATTCGATTTAAAGAAGGGTGTAATATTAACCGGAGCCTCTTCATCTTGGGCCAAGTTATCAAGAAACTTTGTGATGATCAGTCTGGGTAAGAAAAAAAATAATTCCTGTTTCAATTGGAGCAGCAAAAGGTTTATGACCTCTGAATCTTCCCTTTCCCAACTTTATTTTTTGACATGCATCTTTTCACATTTTTTCATCTAGATAGTTTTATTAGTGATGATTGATTGGTATTCTCACTTTGTCTAAAGATAATGAGTGGGCTGTTGAACCAATTTTCCCTCAGCCTCATCCATAATATTTTATTCTTTCTCTCATCCCTTTGCATCAGAGGTTTCATCAACTACAGGGACAGTAAGCTAACAAGAATTCTCCAGAACTCCTTGGGTGGAAATGCCAAGACTGTTATCATATGTACAATTACACCAGCATCTTTGGAAGAAACTCTTAGCACGCTCCAGGTAATTTTTAAATGTTCTTGCTAAAAGAACATTTTGGGTATGGATAAGCACAAGCAGTGAGGGACGCGGTGGCTCAGTGGCTAAGATGCTGAGCTTGTTGATCAAAAGGTCAGCAGTTCAGTGGTTCAAATCCCTAGTACCGCATAATGGGGTGAGCTCCTGTTACTTGTCCCAGCTTCTGCCAACCTAGCAGTTCGAAAGCACGTAAAAAGTGCAAGTAGAAAAAATAGGAGCCACCTTTGGTGGAAAGGTACTAGCGTTCCGTGTATCTTTGGCATTGAGTCATGCTGGCCACATGACCACGGAGATGTCTTCGGACAGCACTGGCTCTTCGGCTTTGAAACGGAGATGAGCACTGCCCCCTAGAGTTGAAAACGACTAGCACATATGCGCGAGGGGAACCTTTACCTTTACCTAAGCACAAGCATAAAAGTGCAAACAGCAGTTGTCACTTCAAAACAATATACTGTAGTTATTCTTCATATGATTATTTTTTATATATATCCCCCCCAACTATTGTGCTATGCAAAAAAGTGTGAGTATATTCTACTTTTATTTTGTTGATTTGTTGCATTTTTGTTTATCTTCCAACATTGGCCTCACTACAAGTCGTTTTTGAAAGCTTATAGAGTGTATTGCTACTCCTTAGAGACAGTCAGCTAAAAAGTATTATTTGGGGTATCAGAGCTCTGTGTACAGGATTTGTTCATAAATAGACCTAAGAGTAGTACCGGCTAGGAATTTGTGGTCTTCCAGGTGGCAGTCTATCAATTAGTCTAATGAAGTATTAGACTAATTGACTGATTCTGTTTTCGAATTCTTGCATCAAATGGCAGCCCCCTCCCCCCCTTAGTTTTACCTACCATATTTTTCAGAGTATAAGACGCACCTTTTTCCCCCAAAAAAGAGGGTGAAAATCTGGGTGCATCTTATACTCTGAAAGTAGCCCTGCCCAACTTCTCAATCGGAGGTTTCAGGGGCTAAAAAAGCCTCAGAAACGAAGCTTCAGAAAAAAAAGCCTCCAAATGGAGCTTCAGAAAAAAAAGCCTCAGAAACAGCTTCAGAGACTTTTTTTTTTTTTTTTTTTTTTGAAGCTCTGTTTCAGAGGCAGAATTTTTTTTTTTCTGGAAGGGAGTTTCAGAAGTTTCAGAGACAGGAAAAAAAGCAAGGCACAGAGCTCACAACCAACGAACCTGTTGTTAAAATTCACCTCTGGGAACAACTGATTGGGGGTATTCTGGGAGGCCAATCCACCTTCCGATCAGCTTTTTTCTTATTTTCCTCCCCAAAAACTAAGGTGTGTCTTATACTCTGAAAAATATGGTATTTCTCAATTTTGTTTACACAAAGTTCTATCAGAGGGGGAGGGGGACTCTTCATAAAGAAAGCAATATACATAAGAGCCGAAATATCCAGTAAGAATAGTTTGTTTTCAGTTTATGAATGTAATCAAACAAGATTTTTAAAAATTATATTACTGATTTTTATTATATTACTGGCCTTCTCTACATATTTTGTCTCTTCTAGTTTGCTAGTACAGCTAAAAAAATGAAGAATACCCCGAAAGTCAATGAAGTTCTTGATGACGAGGCTCTTCTAAAGAGATACCGTAACGAAATAGAAGATTTGAAACGCCAACTGGAAGAAGTAAGTTGCCTAGTTTAAATGGATTGGGTGGGGGTTTTCCAGGCCAACAGGCCAAATCATCAGAGAGTGGGCCCCTTGAAAATGTCCCTCTTCTAAAACAGAGGTCTTCAAACTATGCTGGCTGGAGAATTCTGGGAGTTGAAGTCCACAAGTCTTAAAGCTGCCAAGTTTGAAGGCCTCTGTTCTAAAAGCTCATTAATTGTCTGCAGAGTTTCTTGAATGGTGCATGTCACAAACTTTCAAACTCTGAACTTCATTGCCTTCCAAGAGAATGATTCATTATGTATGTTCAGATGCTACCTACATTTCAGTTGAATCTGGCAAAGGTATTAGGACAAATTAAAAAACGGGGGGTGGGGAAATGCATCTAGGGATAGTAGCGGGAGTAGAGTCTGAACAGAAATTTTAAGAACCAGTGAAGAAGCTGGACAGTTACTTAGTAGAACTTCAAAACTTATGGACTTCTGACAGCCACAAGGGAAGGGAGAAGCTTCTTATTACATTTTAGTAATCTGTAGCTAACTCTTTTTATTTCTCCTCTAGTGACTTGAATTTTATTTTTTAAAGTCATTAGTAATTTTTCCTCTTTGTTAGGGACACTGGGAAGCAGGAAAGTGTTGATCGACTGAACATTTGTCTTGACTTAGAAAGTGATTGATCTTTCTGTGATCTCCATCTGAAGAAGTCAAAAATATTCTCTTTTTCCTTGAACATCCTGCCATAGATAACAGCAATAGCACTTAGACTTATATACCGCTTCATAGTGCTTTTCAGTCCTCTAAGCGGTTTACAGAGTCAGCATATTGCCCCCAACAATCTGGGTCCTCATTTTACCAACCTCAGAAAGATGGAAGGCTGAGTCAACCTTGAGCCTGGTGAGATTTGATCTGCCAAACTTCTGGCAGCCGGTGATCAGCAGAGGTTGCCTGCAGTACTGCACTCTAACCATTGCGCCACAGCGGCTCTAATTAATGGCTCTAATAATATTTCCTAGGCTACCTTTCCCCAGATCGTATGATTACAGTCTTAAGTTACATCCTGTAATGTGAATGTTCAAATTCTTCGTATTTATTTCCTTGCAGAACCAAAATTTCCATTTGATAAGCAGCCTTGGTATCTTCTGTTTTAGGTTTCATCTCATTCTCATACCAAAGATCAGTTAGCACAACTCTTGGAAGAGAAGAATTCTGTTCAGAAAGAGCAACAAGACAGGATAAGAGCACTCACAGAGATGTTGGTGACTTCATCCTCTTTTTTGCGAGAACGGGAGCTAAAGGTAAGCATGAAGATTAAATCTTGGAGAAAGTTAGAAAACGTTGCTTGTTTGTTTTGGAATTGTTATGTTTGGGAGGATGGGCAACATTTATGTAAACATAAAGAACCCCCATTCTCTTAGCCTTTCAGAAGCCATTAAGATTTAGATTTTTATCCAGACACTGGAATGCAGTGAGTATGTCTGGAGTAAGTTGTTGGGCATCCCAAAGGGTGATGAAGAAGCCAGGTTTTATTTAGATTTTAGTAGTCATGGCTTTTATTCTTGTGATGATATAAGAAATATCATAAATCTCAAAACAAATAGCATGTCTTAAATTCTAGATCTTTTAAATTCTAAAAATGCCACCAATGTAAGTTCAGGGTCCATCAAAAATTGATACATAAAACATGAGATGTATTTTAAGGCGCTGTTGATTTAGACCAGACGTGTCAAACTCGATTTCATTGAGGGCACATCAGGGTTGTGTTTGACCTCGGGTGGGCGGGCTGGTGGTTTTCCTTTTAGTTTGTTTTGCTAGCCCTCTGCCAGTGGAAATGGAGGTTGGGGGAGCTGTGCGCTGCCTCCTGCAGCCCTCTGCCAGCGAAAACAGAGTGTGGGCGCCCCCCCACCCCTGAGTTCTGTTTTCGCTGGCAGAGGCACCACGGGCTGGTCCTTCGCTATTTCCAGGACAGCCCTGTGGGCCAGATCTAAGCACTAAGATCAACTTGAGTTTGACATCCCTGATTTAGATAGTGAAATAGCAAAAATATAGGAAGTCTTCTTTCTCATCTTGGTGATAGAATGAATAGTTGCAGTTGTATGAAATGGTATTTTCGATGGGTTCTGCAACTGTTTGAGAAAATAGTAAAGACTCTTAAACTCATCTTCTGCTGTCTTCATAAATACAGTCTTCAGTTGACAATTCTTGTTTGTCAGAACTCTTTATCTATGTTTCTCAAGCTTATAATAATAGCATATATCACAAAACTTTAGCATTGCGTGTGGGACCGCTCTGCGCAGGGGGTCATATCAAGTGTCGGGAGTGCGCACACGCTGTCTCCGAGCGATTGCGCACTCCGGCCCCCAATGCGTGACTCGTGTCCTGGGTTGTGTAGAGCCTCATGCCCAGGGTCTGCGGCTGATGTTATGTAATGCCAGGTCAGTGGTTAATAAGGCCTCCCTCATCTGTGATCTTATTTCGGAGGGGGGTGCAGACCTGGCAGGTATTACGGAGACCTGGTTGGGCCAAGAGGGGGGGGTCCCCCTCGTAGAGATGTGCCCGCCAGGTTTCCGTGCATTTCATCAGCCAAGGGCCCAGGGGAGGGGTGGGGGAGTGGCGGTGATCATTAGGGAGAGTCTTTATCCGAGGGAGACCACTGTTCCTCAGATAGCCGGATGTGAGTCCCTTTATGTGAAGTGGGGCCGTGGGGTGCAGATGGGTCTGCTGACTACGTACCTGGCTCCCTGCCACGTGGCAGCAACCCTGCCCGAGCTACTCGACGTCATTGCCGGGGTGGCAGTCGATACCCCCAGACTTATTGTCATGGGGGACTTCAACCTCCCATCCACAGGTGGGGCGTCAGAGGTGACTCGGGAGTTCATGGCTTCCATGACGGCCTTGGACCTGACCCAGTTAGTTCAAGGCCCCACTCACATAGGGGGACACACTCTGGACCTGATTTTTATCTCTGGTCAGTGGTTGAATGATCTTGGTAGAGGGGACCTAGACATCAAACCCTTGTCATGGACAGATCATTCGCTCCTTCACTTAGACTTTCCTACCGCTTTCCCCCGCCGCAGGGAGACGGAGCCAACCAGATGGTTCCGTCCCAGGCGCCTGATGGATCCCGAAAGGTTTGATGGAGCTTGGGCGTTTCCTGAGACTCTAACACACGACTCGACTGAAGAACTGGTGGCCGCCTGGGAAAGGGCGGCCGCTGGAGCTTTGGACCGCGTCGTGCCTTTGCGGCCTCTGACCCGATGCCGATCTCAATTAGCTCCTTGGTTCTCTGAGGAGCTGAGAGAGATGAAGCGTCGGAAAAGACGCCTAGAGAGCATTTGGAGGACTAGTCAATCCGATTCTGACCGGACATGGTGAGGTCTTATATCAAGACCTACCTAGTGGCGATAAAAGCGGCAAAAATCTAACCATTTTTCCGCTCTTATCGATCTGCAGAGAACCGCCCAGCTGCCTGTTTTAGGGTGACCCACTCCCTTCTTCGGGGGGGAGTACGGGAAGATCCCTTGCAGGGTCGTGCTGAGGATTTTGTGCAGTTCCTGCATGATAAAGTCGCTCGGATTCGGGATGGCTTGAACTCCGATTGGATGAGTCCACGGGAGGAGACCGGGGCAGGTCTTGAGAATGTTACCTGGGAGGAGTTTGATCCTGTGACTCCCGAGGATGTGGACAGAGTTCTGGGTAAGATTAGTGCCGCCACGTGTTTATTGGACCCGTGCCCCTCCTGGTTGGTACTGGCCTCCCGGGAGGTTACACGAGGCTGGCTCCAGGGGATTATAGGTGCTTCTCTGAGTGAAGGTGACTTTCCTGCCGCCTTGAAAGAGGCGGTGGTGAGGCCCCTCCTCAAGAAGCCTTCCCTGGACCCGGCTGAATTAGCTAACTATCGTCCAGTCTCCAACCTTCGTTTTGTGGCGAAGGTTGTTGAGAGCGTGGTGGCACGACAACTTTCCCAACACCTGGATGAAGCTATCTATCTAGACCCGTACCAGTCGGGCTTCAGGCGGGGGTACAGCACAGAAACGGCATTGGTCGCGTTGGTGGATGATCTCTGGAGGGCTCGGGACAGGGGTTGCTCCTCTGTCCTAGTCCTATTAGATCTCTCAGCGGCTTTTGATACCATCGACCATGGTATCATGCTGCAGCGGTTGAGGGGGTTAGGAATAGGGGGCACCGTTTTGCGGTGGTTCTCCTCCTTCCTCTCCGACCGCTCGCAGTTTGTGTTGGCAGGGGGACAGAGGTCGACCTCGAGGCGTCTCACATGGGGGGTGCCGCAAGGGTCAGTCCTCTCGCCCCTCCTGTTCAATATTTATGTGAAGCCGCTGGGTGAGATCATCCGTGGTTTTGGGGTGAAGTGCCATCTGTACGCTGATGATACTCAGCTGTACATCTCCACCCCAGACCACCCCAACGATGCCCTTGATGTGATGTCTCGCTGCCTGGAGGCCGTGCGGGTCTGGATGGGGAAGAACTTGCTCAGACTCAACCCCTCCAAGACCGAGTGGCTGTGGCTTCCGGCGCCCCGATATAGTCAGCAGGTGCCATCGCTAACTATTGGGGGTGAATCTCTGCCCCCCACAGAGAGGGCTCGCAATCTGGGTGTCCTTCTGGATGCACGGCTGTCTTTAGAAGAGCATATGACGGCCGTGGCCAGGGGGGCCTTTTATCAGGTTCGCCTGATTCACCAGTTGCAGCCCTTTCTGGATCGGGAAGCCCTACGCACGGTCACTCATGCCCTTGTTACTTCCCGGTTGGACTATTGTAATGCTCTCTACATGGGGCTCCCCTTGAAGAGCACTCGGAGGCTCCAACTGGTCCAGAATGCAGCCGCGCGGGTGGTCATGGGCGCAACTCGTTGTGCCCATGTGACACCCCTCCTGCGCGAGCTGCACTGGCTCCCAGTGGTCTTCCGGGTGCGATTCAAGGTGCTGGTTACCACCTTTAAAGCACTCCATGGCATAGGACCCGGGTACCTCCGAGACCGTCTTCTGCCACCAATAGCCTCCCACCGACCAGTCCGTTCCCACAGGGAGGGTCTCCTCAGGGTGCCGTCAACCAAGTTATGTCGACTGGCGACGCCCAGAGGGAGGGCCTTCTCTGTGGGAGCCCCAGCCCTGTGGAACGAACTGCCCCCGGAAATTCGTAAGATCTCCGACCTCCGGGCGTTTCGCTGCGCACTGAAGACCCTGTTGTTCCGCCAGGCCGGACTAACAACACAATAGTTTTTAAATTGGGATATTTAAATTTATTGGGGTTTTAAATCTGAGCCACTTATTTAATTATTTTAAATTTTATATTGTTGTTTTCTTTGTGTTTTTAAACAGGCTGTACACCGCCCTGAGTCCTTCGGGAGAAGGGCGGTATAGAAATAAAATTATTATTATTATTATTATTAATTAGTGGGTCATAATGTCAGGTGCTGTTACATATACATCTGCTCTACTCCTTCCCTGTCAAAGTTTTCTTTGAAATCAACATTGCCAATATTTTTGCCAAAATTCCAACAACAGTTTCTATTAGAGCTCCTGACTCTAAAGAGAACAAATCTTAAGTCCTTTTATTTATAAAAGGTATAATGAACTTATTATATCAAGTCCTTTCTCAGATCGGTACAAATGTATTAAGACTTCACGTCCCAGAATTCCTCAACCTGCATGCTGGCTAAGAAATTCCCACCATGTTTGAAGTGTTGGAAAGCTTGGGCAGCATATTGTGTATGTGTATGCTTATTTTTATTTTATTCTTAATTTAAGGCTAAAAAGAAGAGGCGTGTGACCTGGGCCCCTGGGCCTGTAAGCCAAGATGGCGGAATGCCTTTCTTAGAAGACTTTCCTGCAAGAGCTAAACGCTTTAAAGGTTCTCTATCTTGTGTCACAGAGATGGAAGAATGTAAGTTCTTTTCCTAAGAAATTGTTTCATTTGACTCCTATATCTTAAAAGGAATTTATCAGTTAATAGTGGCTTGTAGCAAATCAAGATTTGTCATTCATAGAAAATTGTTAATAGTAAATGCCATCATATGCCTCTTTAGAAGGCGTGCTTAACCTACATGTTATTTGCCTGATACTGTTGAGTTCTGTTAAATATGAGATGGGACGGTTAAGGGTGAAATTCCAAGCTTAAACTACAGGTGGTCCTCACTTAACAATCTTTTATTCAGTGACTGTACTTACAGGAGATAGTTACAACCAGACCATGTACTTATGGCCATTGCAGCATCTCCATAGTCACATGACCATGATTTGCGACCTTCCTTGCTGGCTTCCTACAAACAAAGTCATTTGGGAAACCGGTTCCTCACTTAATCACCTGGGCAGTCTTCACTTAACAGCAACTGGGACTTCCAGAACTGCTGTCACTGAGCAGCACAGTCACATGGCTTTTGACTTTAAGAGCTTCATTTAGCAGAAGCAGCATAGTCACATGGTGTTTTAAAGTACATCACTTAACAGAATTTCTGGTCCCAATTAGCATTGTTAAACAAGGACTACCTATACCAAGTTCAGTTTCTCTCTTAGTTGCTCTGAAAGAAATCTGAATCTGGCAGCTGTCTCCAGAGATTGAAAAGACCCAACTTTCTAAATATGTTGATCTGACAGGTGCTTGTGCTCAAGGCACTCAGCATAACAGGGCTAGTATAAAATCTGTGTTGCTCACTAGAACAAAAGCTACTTCGTGGGGTTAAACATCTTTCCAAATCAAATGGGAAGGAAAAGAGCAAGCTTAGGTTCCATAAAATTCAGTTATCTGATATAAAAACTATTTAGAGACAAATGGAATGGTTGCCGCTTGGTGAAAATTAAGGAGACCAAAAGTAGCTATTTTCTATAAAAAAAATTAGTCCATAGAATTTCCATTTCCATTTAATTTTATATATTTTGGGGTTGGGGGTGTTTTTAATTCTTAGCTGTCTCCTCGGAATTCTCAGAATATGATGATCAATGCATGACAGCCAGTGTTATAATGCCTGAGGAAGAATGGATCCCAGGATCCGAAATAAACTTTGTAAGTATTAGGGGCTGATGGAAAAAAAAATGAGTAGAATTTGCCAAGAGGGTTGGATATATTGTTGAACCAATTTTTCCCATGCAGTGGGCAAACATGCTTCAGTGGGGTGTAGAATTGCACATTAAGGGAAAATACAGCTTGTCAAAAACTCTTCCCCAATGCCTCTTGTTTTACTGCCTGTAAAGGAAAAAAGGGAACAGGTTCTCTTCCTATTATCTTTATTCCTAACTAGATCTATATTATTACAAATCCAATAAAATAAATATTATTTGCATATTATTATGTGTAAAAAAAAAAAAGAGCTTTTTTCCCAACTGGGAACATAATTTGATGATGAAGCAGAATGGTTTTAGTCAACATCCCTTTTAAGTTCCATTACATTTTATATTTTGCAAAACAGAAGAATGTTGTTGTCCACTGAAATGTTTTTTGTTCTAGACTTCTAAAGACTTTGCCGAGTCGGTTCAGCTTTGCCAAAGCCTCTTGGAAGAAAGGGTGAGTTATTTTTGCAGGTTTCAGGATATTCAACCAGAGGTTATGAGTAAAATATGTAATTTCCTCCATTCCTTTCTGGTCTAGGATAATGCCGTCACTGAACAGCAAACCATAAAATCAAAATTTGATAGTGTGTGCTTGGAGAAAGAACAGCTGACCTTAGAACTCTCAGAGCTGCGTGAAAAAATCTCAACCCATGAGTTTGTGGCCCTTGAGAAAGTGGTTTCTGAAGAGCAGGAGGTGAGAAAAAAGGATAGTATGCAAATGAAACATTTCTATAAGTTTTAAAGACTTGCATTGTGAAGTGCAAACAGACTAAACGCCACTGCAGTTCTTTTGAAACATGTAAAGTTATGAGATTTTTTTCAACTAGTTTATACAGGTAATCCTTGAGCTATGGTAGTTCATAGTCCTGAAATTACGAATGTTGCAACACCACAGCAATCGTTCACCCTCACGAACGACCGCAAAGGCACTGCAACATTCACCCTGCTTATTCCACCACCACCCCTTCAGCTCCCCACAATTGCTTCCCCTCCCCCTCCCATCCTGCCACACCGGACTCACCTTGCAAAGATTTGTATTCTCTCTACTGCCGTTTCTTTGAGAGGGACAATTTTGTTTCCAGAATCCAATCGGCTTGCAAATGCTTTTCACGCGCCAAGAATGAAATGTTGGGGGGGGGGGCATGATCTCGCGTGACTTCAGGTCACCATTCTCTGCAAAAGCAGATGGATGCCTGAAATTGCACGAGATCCAGTCTCCGCATAAAACATTTGCAAGCCGACAGGATGCTTTGTGGCAGCGCAATTTTTATCTATACTTCTAATGCTTTCCAGTTGTTTAGGACTTCAGTTCCCAGATTTCCTGACCAACACATCTGAAGCTGGATAGGAAATCTGGGGGTGAAAATGTTATCTGGAAGACATAGATTAAGGCAAAGTGTTTGAGGCACATGGCACTATAACCTTGCTGTGCATCTTACTCAAGGATTATCTGGGAATAGGCGTTTTCTCTCTCCCAATTTGAAAGGAAGATGGGACATAAATGTACTAATTTTAACGGAATATAAATTACTAAAGTAGAATTAAACTTGTCTATGGATTGTCATGTGTGTTAGGCTTGGTCTCTGGGTGTTATGTGAATTTCGTTGTATGGGTATACTGTGTATATACAATGACAATAAACTTTACAATACAAATTTCTTGTGACCAACCATAAAATATTAATCTTGCAACCAAGACATTCTACTTTGAAAGACTGAGAAGTAATAACAATTACTGGATTTACACATCTTAGAAAGCTAAGCTTTGCTTTTGACTGAGTACATTGAGCCATGGTTCCACAACCAACCATAATGATTACAGTTTGAGATGAGCCAAACCATGGCTTATTTAATTCTGGCTTAATGTTACATATAAACCAAGTCATTATTGCACGGTGCCATGTACAAATCTAGCCACTCTGGTACAGAGATTGAAATTTTGTTTCCTGGAATTTTTCTCCAGTTTAAGATATGCATAAGCAGTATTTCCTGCAGCAGCAACTAGATGCTTATGTAAAATTGAGTGGTTCTAACAGAATCTTTTATTGCAAAGGCTGCTTATCTTTCTTATGGTGATGGCAGGTAAACTAAACTGATGGGTGCTTCATAACTGCTTTGCTATTTGCTCCACTTGCTCCACAGATGCAACTAATGCATGAAATTACCAACTTAAAGGCTATAATTTCAAATGCAGAAATATACAATCAAGACCTTCAGGTGAGCTGGTGATGATTGCATGGCTTCCTTTTTTAAAAAAACAAAAAATGGAATGGCGCTGTGAATGGGGACAATTCCTTTGTATTTAGTATAGCGTATATTGATTGTGTTTGAGATACACCTTTTTGTTTGTTTAATAGCAAGAAATAAACTCAAAAGACATGCAGTGCAAGGAACAAGAGGAAAGAATCTCAGCATTGGAAGAGCACAATAAGAAACTTAAAAGTCTTGTAGAAGAGTTTAAAAAAGACAAAAATGAAACAACCATTTTAGTAGTAAGTCTGAATCTTCTTAATTAATTGTGTATTTCGTAAGTGAACTATGAAAAGCATATTTTTGTGTATTTGATTTCTTTGTTACTAGTTGAAGTTCTTATGAATAGCTACATAGAATGGTAGTTATTTCCCTGCCTTCTCTATCATGCAGAGCAGGAGTGTCAAACTTGCAGCCTGCGCAGGCCAGATGCGTCACACGCTGGTCACGCCCACCCCCGGTTTAGCAAAGTGGGGGGGAGTCACAATACTTCACGGGACGACAACATGACGCTGCGATTGACACCCCTGAAGTAAATTTATCAAGTTTTCTAGGCAAAGCGAATAATTTAGTATCAAGTTACAAAAGTTACACAAGTTGTTAATAAGAGCTCTTGCCAGACGTATTTTCACAATTTCCAGTGAGTGATTGGAGAATAAATGATATTTCCATGTGGCTAAACATGCATCATTGTCCAAAGGTTTGGTTTGCTAAATGGATAGAGAGAGAAATGCAAATTCTCATGTTGTTATTATCGCATTGGCCTGACTCACAAGGAGAGATAATTCTAAGATATAATATATATTTGGAGAAACGGCCAGGGCAGAGACAGAGAGATATGGAGAGAGGGGGATAGAGAGAGACATAGAGAGATACAGAGAGGGAGGGAGGGAGAGGAGAGAGAGAGAGAGATGTCAAAATGATTTTGTGGTTCCTGGTGTTTTTTAACAACTGGTTCTCTGCCCTAATGACCGGCTGGGTAGGCATGGCTAGGGAGGGGGGGGGGTCATGTGATTGGTGGAAGTGAGTGACATCAAGTTGGCCACGCCCACCCAGGTTTTGTGGCTTCTGATGTTTTCTTTTCTGTGGGAAACTGGTCCAAATGGCTCTTTGAGTATTTAAGGTTGCAGACCCCTGACCTAGGACCACAATTGAGCCCAAAATTTCTGCTGCTAAGTGAGACATTTGTTAAGTGAATTTTGCCCCATGTTACAACCTATCTTGTCACAGTTAAGTGAATCACTGCATTTGTTAAATTAATGACACTATTATTAAGTGAATCTGGCCTCCCCATTGGCTTTGCTTGTTAGAAGGGTGCAAAAGGTGATCCCATGACTCTGGGACACTGCAGTTGTCATAAATATGAATCAATTGCCAAGCATCTCATTTTTGATCACATGAGTATGATAATGCTGTAATAGTCATAAGTATGAAAAACGGTGAAGAGTCCATTTTTTCAGTGCCATTGTAACTTTGAATGGTCATTAAATGAACTGTTGTAAGTCGAGGATTACCAGTATATAAATTTTCTATAAATCGATGTGATTTTTTTTCATATAAATATAATAGCATGGGTTAGCATATTATTATGGCTGAGGATGCTTTTCTAAAGTGATTTCAATTTTCAGAGTTGTGGAATTTCTCCAAAGTGTGAACATTTTGCTGATATTTTTGTCCTGTTTTGAGAAAACCAAAATAGCAAAATGGAGCCAGTGAAGCATAATATATATAGCAGGGGTGTCAATCTTGCGGCCCATGGGCCGGATGCATCATGCGCTGGCCACGCTCCCGCCTAGTTTAGCAAATTGGGGAAAGTCGCAATACATTTATTTATTTATCTATCTATCTATCTATCTATCTATCTATCATATTTCTATGCCACCCACTCTTCCAAGGACTCTGGGCGGCTTACACCAAAGACAGTATACTAAATAGCATATTGCCCCCTAACAATCTGGGTCTTCATTTTACCCATCTCGGAAGAATGGAAGGTTGAGTCAACCTTGAGCCGGTGAGATTTGATCCGCTGATCTGCTGAACTAGCAGTCAGCTGAAGTAGCTGCAGTACTGCACTCAACTACTGCGCCACCTCGGCTCATATCACATCATGTGACAAGTTTGACATCCCTGATATATAGGCTTTACCTCTGATTTTTGAAAATTGAAATTCATTATGATATGGCAATTGCAAAAATAAATTTATGAATCATCTGTTTTGACTTTCCTAACCCCAGTCCATCAACCTTACAAAAAAAAAACAGTTTTCATTTTTCCTTGATAGAATATTTATCTCTGCTTAAACCACACTATCACAATCTTCATGCTTGCAGCAAACTCCAAGGAAAAACCGGGACGAAGTGCAAGAGTTAAAGCAATCTCTCAGAGATGCTGAAAATGTTGCCCTGGATGCCAAGAAAGAATCTGCATTCCTCCGAAGTGAAAATCTAACACTGAAAGAAAAAATGGTAAAAAAAAAAAAAAATAGTAAAAATTAGCTGCTGAAAATATGTTCTATTTAAAAAAAACTCTAGAACATGTTTGTTTGTAAAATAGCTATTTGTTTTTCATTAGAAGACTGCCATTATGTGAATGGCAAGCAAACTGATAAAAAAAAGTTGAGGCATCTTTCCCCAGGATCTGATGTACATGCAGAAGAAGATAACATTAAGGAGCCTACCGCAATAGAGATTTAAGTTTAAGATCTCATATTATCTTGTAGATTATGCTGCCTTATAATTCCTAGAATGAATCTAGTGACAATTTGAAGGGTGTGTGTGTTAAGGTATTGAGATTTAAGAGCTGACCAGCGGTAAAGCTGATGCAACTGTAAAGCTGATGCAGTGAAGATGAATCGGCAGCCAGGAGAGGGCGTATTCTCTCTCCTTGTGTCTGGTATTCATTGCTGAGTTCTCTGTGTAGAGTTAAGAAGAAGATTGATTGCTTGTCAGGTATTTGCTAACCACGTATATTTCTGTATATGTCTTGTATATAAACCACTGTTAAATGTCTAACTGTTTGTGCTGTGTTTTGCTCCTAGGTTGTCTCATAATAGTAGTCACATTGCAAACGCTCTGACTGTGTGTGTGTGTGTGTGTGTCAATGCTGCCTAATATGGTTTTCCTGTAAGCCAGAAAGCGGATATCACAGAGCAAACTGTGTTTGTTGTACATTGCCAATTCGTACTTAGATGTTCATGTTCATACTATGCTAACTCCTTCCCACATAGAATCAGCTCTCAGAGACTTACAATCAAATGGAAAAAGATCTTGGAAACTACAAAACCCAATTAGAAGCCGGAAAAGTCACCTATAAAAAAATGCAGTCTGATCTCCAGAAAGAACTACAATATTACTTGCAAGAAAATGCAAAGCTGACATCTTCGGTGGAAGTTAACAATTCAAAAGGTACTGTTCACAGAAACCACTTCCTCTGTCCTTTATAAAACCCTAAATGCTGAGAAGAAGTTTTATAACTTAAAAGTCAGTAGAATGCTGGTAGGAATACTGGGAGTTGTAATTCCAGGACATGTGGATTGGGAAAGGCTGCATTAAATTAATCTGCAGTGTTTCAGGAAGGCTTTTGAGACGTCGAAATGGGAAGGTGTCTTGTTTTTTCTGTCATGTTGCTTTACTTTTACTTTTTTAGGTTTTGTTTGTTTTTTATGTGGCTTTGTTTGCTGGTATTTCTTGTGCACAGTTTGAGCCTCCTCTCCTTTCCAAATTGAGATTTTTTTAAAAAAATCTAGTGAAGAAGATAGCCATTTATAATAAAACCATCAAAAGGTTTTGTAGTATTTTAAAGCTTATCAAATATATGTTAGGTTTTCATTTACCTCATAGGCATTTGATGAGACATTTAATTTAGTTGCAGGATCTCTTTCAACAAAACCATTGCAGCTACAATGAAAAAAAATATTCTCCGTTATTTTTCCTCTTAAAATGTAGGAAGGACCCTGGAATCCAATTTGTACTTGCCTTCCTATATTTAACAAAAAGGATATAACTGCTGCTCTGGAGTTTCAAAATTAAAGATTGCTCTAAAAATCAGAAGGTTATAGTAGTAGAACAGGAGTGAAGTTCAAAATGGAGAAAGAAAACTGCATAACTAAGAAAAGGAACAGAGAGGAAATAAACCAAACTGTATGAGCAGCAAAGTTTTACTTTTCAGGGATATTAATGTTTTTTGTTTTTTTCAGCATTGCCATTTGCAAAACTCAGGATATAAATTACTCTGTATTTTAACAAGAAATTTCACTGTACCCAAAATCTATAAAAAACAAAACAAAACCTGGGGCTGTAGCTCAGGGATAGATTTTTTACTTGTGGAAGGTCCAAGATTTAATCTCCAGTATTTCTAAATTGAAGACGTGGTTGCTCGGTGGCTAAGACACCGAGTTTGTCGATCGAAAGGTCGGCAATTCAGTGGTTTGAATCCCTAGTGCCGCGTAACAGGGTGACCTCCCATTACTTGTCCCCGCTTCTGCCAACCTAGCAGTTCGAAAGCACGTAAAAAATGCAAGTAGAAAAATAGGGACCGCCTTTGGTGGGAAGGTAACAGCCTTCAATGCTCTTTTGGCATTTAGTCATGCCGGCCACATGACCACGGAGACTTCTTCGGACAGCGCTGGCTCTTCGGCTTTGAAATGGAGATGAGCACAGCCCCCTAGAGTTGGGAACAACTAGCACATATGTGCGAGGGGAACCTTTACCTTTACCTTTTATTTCTAAGTAAGACTACAAAAATTCATGAAAACCAAAGAACCGTTGATGATATGGGCTCCCCGTGATGTAGCTTCCCATGTATAGAACAATCCAGTCAAATAGCACAGTTGTCATTCATTTCTACAATAAGTTTGGCCTCTCTTTTCCAGACTTGCTACCATATATGGAGTTGGAAGGGAAAATGGAGGATTTAAAAAATGAGCTGAATAAAGCTTTGGAAGAGAACGTGAGTTTAAAGGAAAAGTTGACTGATTTATCAGAAGCAAACTCTGGATCAGATCTTGAAATCTTACACAAAGAGGTAAAAATATTGCATGAATCACTGGAAATTATTCAATACCATTTCATATAGCAATACTTAACATTTTCAAGTGAAATTGTTTTCTCTTTTCAGAATAAAGTTTGTTTTCTTCACTGTTTCCTAAAACAGATTTCTAGCACTAGTGAGCTATTTCAGCATTGTAAACAATTTTATTGACTTTTAGCAGAATTGTGTGTCTACCAGTGATTAGTTGTTAGGGCTTTACACAGTGACTTTGGAACATGCTCCTAGCAAAATAAATAGTTGTTTCTTGGAGTAGCTTCCAGAGCAGTTATCCAATCCTGAAAAAAGAGGCAGCTGCTTTTTTGATTCAAAAGCATTTGCAAATTGAATTAGAAATCACAGTGTTATTTTGTTGCATTATCTTCTGGTTTCTTTCATATTTGGAGAATGGAATTTTGGGTTTTAGAGATTGCTAAAATTGGGGAATCCAGAATTTGTTAGAAGATAGGATTGATTGGCAATAGTGTGATAAGCAGTAATAGACTTCAGCTAGGAAATTAGAGCAAGTCTCCACAAGATTTCTTTTTAACACTAAAGCAAAGTAACAATAGATAACCTTTTGATTAATTTTGGAATAATGACAGACATCAAATTGATTCCTATTAGAGAAGCAAACCTACAAACCCAAAACAATTACCTTCCATTATTATCTAGTTGATTTTTAAAACATAACAAAAACACTTAAGAGCTGTTCTCCAATATTTTGTTCATAATGTATGCTTTTGGTATTATTAACAGATTGTTGAAAAAAATGAAACAATTGCTCTGCTGATCTCAGAAAAAGAAATGTTGCTGTCTCAAGTTTGTGAAAAAGAGAGAATGGTTCATGAAGCAACTCAAGCACTATCATCCAAAATGGATTTAGCAAATGATGAAATGATAAGAGGAAACACCGTAGCTTTTGAAGAACTCAGACAGTCGTGTGATAGATTGGAGGAGAAATCCTTGGTTGTGGCTGAAGAAGACAACTCTACGAAAACAGAAATAGATTCCTGTTCCAATGGAAGTCTCAATACGTCCATCAGTTATAATACCCAAGAGGTAAGTGCCCATTTTATAATATGATAAGTCAATAGATACATTGTCGGATCTTTTGATGCTTTATCTTTGCCCATATCTGCTTATGTTCAATATATTATTGCTCACATATTATTACACAAAGGGTTGGATTATAAATATTGCATAGTTAACAAGTCAGTCTGCAAATAGAGGTAGACCCCGACTTACAACCCACAATTGAGACCAACATTTCTGTGGTTAAGTGAGAGATCGGTTAAGTGAGTTTTGCCCCATTTTATGACCTTTCTTGCCACAGTTGTTAAATGAATCACTGCAATTGATACGTTCGTAACCCGGTTGTTAAATGAATCTGACTTCCCAATTGATTTTGCTTGTAGAAAGTCGCAAAGTGGGATCACGTGACCTTGAGACACAGCAACAGTCATAAATGTGAACCAGTTGCCAAGCATCTGAATTTTGATCACATGAGATCATGGGGGTGCTGCGAAGGTTGTAACTGTGAAAAATGGTCATAAGTCACTTTTTTCAGTGCTGTTGTAACGTTGAACGGTCACTAAATGAACTGTAAATTGAGGACTACCTGTACTGCAACTTATGGCACCCAGGTCTTAGCTGGAATCATTAAACTATGTTGTCTTGGCCTTTAATATCTGGGATGTCATTCCAGAAAAAGTTGTACTGTTAAATTGCTCAGTGTGCTGACCATTTCAACCAGTGGTGGGTTGCTCCCGGTTTGGACCGGTTCTATAGAACCGGTAGTAAAACCGGTGGGAGGCTCCGCCCACTGACCCTGACGTCATGAGAATCGATCTGCACATGCGCAGAAGCAAGGCACGCGTGTGTGATCCCGTTGCGAACCGGCAGTAAAGGTAAATAGAACCCAACCCTGATTTCAACAGCTGCAGAAGTGCATGCAGCCTTGCCTACATCAACAGAAATAAGCTGGAGTAGAATAGTATGTGATACTTAGCTAACATGAAACTGCTAATTGTGTTGTCTTGACCTAATTCGTACATGCTATCATGGTAAACTATAACATGGAGGTTTCTTTTAGACCACGGTATCAGGGGTGAAATGCTCCCGGTTCGGACCGGATCACCCAATCCGGTAGCGATGGAGGTGGGGTGATTCTGAGAACCAGTAGCAAAAAACCCCGCTCCCCCACCCATGCCCAGCTGAGCTGCACAATCATCAGAGGCTTTTTTTTTTTACTTTTAAAAACATTTTTTCTACAACCTCTTCAGCCAAAAAAAAATGCTTTTAAAAGTAAAAAAAAAGCCTCTGATGATCGCGCGGCTCAGCTGGGATCGTCAAAGGCTTTTAAAAGAAAAAAACACTTTTTTTCTTTAAATGCCTCTGATGATCCCAGCTGAGTTTTTTAAAAAGCTTCTGCTGATCAGACAACTCAGCTGGGATCGTCAGAGCCTTTTGAAAGCATTTTTTTACAACCTCTTCATGAAGAGGTTGTAGAAAAAATGGTTTTAAAAGTAAAAAAAAAAGGCCACGCCGTTCCAGTCACATTAACCACCACCACCAAGCCACGCCCACAGAACTGGAAGTAACAAATTTTAGATTTCACCACTGTGCAGTACACTGCATTATGTTATGAGAATATAGGAACTACAGTATGTTTTTGTTAAATCTAGATTTAGGACTTGGAGCGTTGTATGGATCTGTACATTGCATCCAAGTTACAGGAAGTATTAGATCCATTATACTTTGTGTATCAAATTGCATCTGGGAACTCAGCCTACTGTGTTGGAACCTAGGTGCCTTTTGGTTATTACTGTTGTTATTGCTTCATTTAATTTTCCAATTTCACACAGAAAGTGGAATTGAATTATCTGCTGCTGCTTTAAAGGAAAAGATTTAGCAGGAAATATCCTATGGCAAAACAATTGCCTTTTATATCCAATGTATTGAGAATTCAGGTCTAGGACCTTCAGGCTCATACCCTTGGCCATGCCTCCTTCTCCTCTAGCCTCAGCCCATTTATAGTCAGCTTTCCTCCTCCGCTGGCCCTACCCCAGTCATTTGCCCTGGCCAATGGGCCTCCGGCACTCCACCCCGCACCCTTCAGCTAGAGGCCCGTAGGCCAGGGGTAAATGGTTGGGGGAGGACCAGCGGAGGAGGAAAGCTGGTTGTAAATGGGCTGAGGTGGAAATCTGGAGGAGGAGGAGCGGCCAAGGGTAGGAGCCTGAAGGTCCCATTCCGGAGAATTCATTAATCATGGATACAAAACAGATTGATGCATAACTTGATTTATCACCTCTGAAATACTTTTTCCGTGATCTCAGTATCTCTACACCTAGTAACAGTCCCACGTATATTCCCTGGTTCTGGATGCAACTACTATTTTTTATACTAAAAGTTGAATCAGAGATTAAGTATGGCTCTAGCCTGTTTCAGGGTATACGCAAGGCTGCTAGTAGTCTTAAATCTTTGTCTCTCCATAGTCTCAGCCATTATACTGTATTGACTCTCCATACAAGAGGATCATTGTTTAAGAGAATATTGTTACAATACACTTAGATTGTCTTTGTGGTAGCAGCATCAGTTTTACATATATTTACATATTTCAAGTTATTTGATGGTGGAAGGAGAATGTGGAGGAGGGGAAATGATTCTTAAGTATTTGCAAGGAATTTATTAAGATTATTGGAAAACAAAGTTAAACGCGATTACAACATTTGACAACTTTTGATGCTGCATCTTCAGTATATTAAATTGTGTTTAACATATATGCTGTAATTTCCTAAAAAATCAAAGCAATCTAGCAAAACTGAAGAATTACAGAAGAAGGACTTGGAGCAAGAGGAGCTGCTCACACTTAAAGAACAACTGGATGAAGCTCATCAAAAGCTGAGTGAAATGGAAGAGCTCAAAGATCAGTTGAAGGTTTGGGAGTCTAAAATGGAAGCCGAGGAAGCACAAAAGTCAGACATCATAGAAAGACTTCAGGAAGATCAAGAAAAAATAAGAACCTTGACCCAAGAAAGAAGTGACTTCAAACAAAAATATGAAGCCCTTGAGAAGGAGAGAGATCAGCTCAAAGAAGATATACAAGATACCATCTCGATGGTAAGTTAAACATGGCAGAGAAACAGTAGACAAAAATAGGTGACTTTATCATTATGGACCATATTTATTCTTTTGGAACTTTTAATTGATGGTTAGAAGTCAAAGGATTGTATTTGATGATATCACTAAGTACAGCTAAAAATATTGGTCTTTTAGGGAAGTTAAGAGTGATAATAGGCACATTGTGCTTCAGAAATGCTGAGTATGGCCATTTCCATCCTTAAATTCATTTTACATGTGCTTTTCAGAAAAATGCAACTAAACCTTGCTTGTTTTATTGCTGAATGTTGGTATTCAATCATAGGAATTTTTTTTTTTGAGAAAAATTAGGCAATTAATCAGTGGAACGACTTGCTTGTAGAAGTTGTGAGTGCTCCAGCACTGGAGGTTTTCAAGAAGAGACTGAACAACCATTTGTCTGAAATGGTATAGGGCAGTGATAGTTAACCTTTTTGCATCTCATGCCAAAGGCGGGGGGAGTGCGAGGGAGTCGTGCGCACGCGTGCCCACACCCATAATTCTATGTGCATGCGCGTGCGACTCCCCCCGCTTTTGGCAGGTGATGGCACGGTGGGCCTGGTTGGCCCGTTTTTCGCTCTTCCCAGGCTCCAGAGCCTTTTTAGGAGCCTGAGAAGGGTGAAAATGGCCTTTCCTACCCCCATCCCCGGAGGCCGGAAACGGCCGTTTGCTGACTTCCAGTGGGACCAGACGGCCCGTTTATGAGCTCGCGTGCCCATCGATATGGCTCCGCATGCTACATGTGGCACACGTGCCATAGGTTCGCCATCAAGGGTATAGGATCTCCTGCGAGCAGGGGGTCAGACTAAAAGACCTCCAACTCTGGTGCCTTCCAACTCTGTTGTGCTGTTCTGTTCTGTTCTGTTACCACATGTAACATCAAATTGTCCATTGTTGTATTAAGAAAACAACCAAGTTTAGGAGAAAATATTATTTGCACCCCACAATATATTTTGTGATAATTCAAATGCATGCATATGTATATTTTTCTGTCTTTTTATGAAAGAATATTGAAGCCCAGGAGGGGTTCAGGAATGCCCAGAATTCTTTGAAGCAGTGTCAGAAGCGCATTAAAGAACTTGAAGAAACCATTTCAGAGAAAGACAAACAGATTTCAAGAGTTCAGGAAACTTTAGAGGTCACAATTGATGATCAAAAACAACAGGTAAGAGATCTGTAATTGAAATGCATTGACAGAATCAAGTTTTGGTTAAGTTTCTTGATCTGGGATGTAGATTTTCTGTTAGATCAAAGGCTGCTTATTTATTTCTTCCAAAGAATTTATGGAATAATATATTCATTGCAGATATTGCAGATTCTGAAATTAACAGACGACTTGAAAGACGTCTCAGTAAACAAAACTCAAAATGAAGACATACAAATCAGATTGTGCTTGTTGTTGTTGTTGTTAGTTGTGAAGTCATGTCCAACCCATCGCAACCCCATGGACAACGTTCCTCCAGGCCTTCCTGTCCACCACCATCCTCTGGAGTCCATTTAAGCTCACGCCTACTGCTTCATTGACTCCATCCAGCCACCTCATTCTCTGTTGTCCCCTTCTTCTTTTGCCCTCAATCTTTCCCAGCATTAGACTCTTCTCCAGTGAGTCCTTCCTTCTCATTAGGTGGCCAAAGTATTTCAGTTTCATCTTCTGTATATGGCTTTCTAAACAGCAGTCAGGATGATCTCCTCTAGGACTGACCGGTTTGATTGCCTTACAGTCCAAAGGACTTGCAGGATTTTCTCCAGCACCATAGTTCAGAGGCCTCAATTCTTTGACACTCAGCCTTTCTTATGGTCCAATTTTCACAGCCATACATTGCAACTGGGAAAACCACAGCCTTAACTATATGCACTTTTATTGGCAGGATGATGTCTCTGCTTTTTAGAATGCTGTCTAGATTTGCCATAGCTTTCCTCCCCAGGAGCAAGCGTCTTTGAATTTCTTGGCTGCAGTCCCCATCTGCGGTGATCTTGGAGCTCAGGAAAATAAAATCTGTCACTACCTCCATTTCTTCTCCATCTATTTGCCAGGAATTGAGAGGGCTGGATGCCATGATCTTAGTTTTCTTAATGTTGAGTTTTAAGCCAACTTTTGCCCTCTCCTCCTTCACCCGCATCAAGAGGCTCTTTAGTACCTCTTCACTTTCTGCCATTAGAGTGGTATCATCTGAATATCTGAGGTTATTGATGTTTCTCCCGACAATCTTAATTCCAACTTTTGATTCATCTAATCCCGCCTTTCTCATGATGTGCTCTGCATATAAGGCAGCGTGACAGTATATAGCCTTGCCAGACCAATTTTGAACCAATTAGTGGTTCTGTGACCAGTTCTCACTGTTGCTTCTTGACCTGCATATAGGTTTCTCAAGAGACAAATAAGATGGTCTGGTGCTCCCATCCCTTTAAGAACTTGCCACAATTTGTTGTGATCCACACAATCAAAGGCTTTAGCATAGTCAATAAAGCAGAAGTAGATATTTTTCTGGAACTCCCTAGCTTTCTCCATGATCCAGGGTATGTTGGCAATTTGATCTCTAGTTCCTCTGCCTCTTCGAAATCCTGCCTGTACTTCTGGTAGTTCTCAATCCACATACTGCTGGAGCCTAGCTTTTAGGATTTTAAGCATAACTTTACTAGCATGTGAAATGAGTGCAATGGTGCGATAGTTTGAATGTTCTTTGGCATTGCCTTTCTTTGGAATTGGAATGTAAATTGACCTTTTCCAATCCTGTGGCCACTGTTGAGTTTTCCAAATTTGCTGGTAAATTGAGTGTAGCACTTTTACTGCATCATCTTTTAAGATTTTGAATAGCTCAGCTGAAATATTGTCACCTTCACTAGCTTTGCTGTTGCTCAGATTTCCTAAGGCCCATTTGACTTCACATCTAGAATGTCTGGCTCTAGGTCAGCGGCCACCCCATCGTGGTTATCAGGGACATTAAGTTCATTCTTGTATAGTTCTTCTGTGTAATTTTACCACCTCTTCTTAATCTCTTCTGCCTCTATTAGGTTCCTGCCATTTTGGTCCTTTATCATGCCCATCTTTGCATGAAACGTTCCTTTCATATCTCCAATTTTTTTGAAGAGATCTCTGGTCCTCCCTATTCTATTGTTTTTTTCTATTTCTTTGCACTGTTCATTTAAGAAGGCATTCTTATCTCTTCTAGCTATTCTCTGGAATTCTGCATTCAATTGGGTGTATCTTTCTCCTTCTCCTTTGCCTTTTGCTTCCATTCTTTCCTCAGCTATTTGGAAAGCTTCCTCAGACAGCCATTTTGCTTTCTTGCGTTTCTTTTTCTTTGGGATGGTTTTGGTTGCTACCTCTTGTACAATGTTGTGAACCTCTGTCCATAGTTCTTCAGGCACTCTATCAGATCTAATTCCTTAAATCTATTTGTCACCTCTACAGTATATTCATCAGGGATATGATTTAGTTCATACTTGAGTGGCCTAGTGCTTTTCCCTACTTTCTTCAATTTAAGCCTAAATTTTGCAATGAGAAGCGAGCGATCCGGTAGCAAAGGTAAGTGAAACCCACCACTGATGTATATCATTTGATAGGTTCGATTTCATAAACATTCTTTCTCAAATCCAACAGCTACAAACAAAGTCTTTTGACCCGCAGCAATTGCTCCAGATGAATCAGAATGCAGAAAATTTTGATGACGCAGAGCAGCTCAAAATTAGTCTTGAGTCTCAAGTGGAAGTCCTACAGAAGGAGAATGCCGAGCTGGTTCAGAAGCTTCACAGCACTGAAGAAGATATCAAATGTATCAGCCAAGAAAAAGAGCATCTGAGAACAGAGGTAAAGGTTCTTCAAGCCGAGAAGGATACCATGACTCAAACTGTCCACCATCTAACCTGGAAGGATCATGGCTTGGCCAGTTCCTGTTCATTTTTCTTTCCATAAGTGTTATGGTGGTTCACTTAGATTTAACTTTTTAAATATATCTCCTTTCAACTTTAAGCAGACACATGAGCACTGGTAGCTCTGGTTCAATTTTGCAGGGAGGATCATTTGGACGTAAACCATCATAGTACCAAAATCCTGTTATTTGCCAGAAGACCTAAGAGAAAAATGAGTTAAATTCTTGGACATTTTTAAAAGGGGGAAACCTCCAAATTACTGCCTTCTAATTAATCCTACAATGCACATGGAGAAAAAAAAATCCTGATATCTATGACATTGTCCCATTCCATCATCAACTTGTCTTCTGTAAACCTTGTGTAGATAAAAAATGTTATCTCTGGATTCTGATTATTTTTTTAAAATGCCTCTGCTTTTACACTCTTGGTGCCTTTCTTCCCGTATTTCTAAATAATCAGACATTTTGGACTTGTTCCCAAATAATCAGGAGTAAATAGCTCAATTCTTCATCAAAATCATGTTTCAGATCCAACACCTAGAAAACAACTCCCTCGAGCTGCAGCAACTGCTCTGCCTGAAAGAAGAGGAGAGTCAGCAGAAAGTAGAGAACATGAAGGATGCACAGCTGGACAGTATCTCTGAGTCCCAAATGGAAGCCCTGCAGAAGGAGAAAACTGAGCTGGTTCAGAAGCTTCAGAGCACTGAAGAAAATGTCAAATGCATCAGCCAAGAAAAAGAGCATCTGAGAACAGAGGTAAAGGTTCTTCAAGCTGAGAAGGATACCATGACTCAAACTGTCCACCATCTAGGTGAGACTCTAGAGAAGCTGGTTCCAATGGTAAGAATTCAATTGCTTCCACCTTTGGGGCGATACTTTTTATTGGATTAGGATTTAATTGAAATGTGGTTTTATTTCATGTGGCTTTATTTTTCATTGAAGAATTTGGAACTGCAGGAACAATTGAGGGAGGCTAATAATTCTCTCAGAGAACATAAGGAAATGGTAGAAGAACTGAAAGGAAAAACCATAGCCATAGATTCTCAGACTTCAAAAATTGACGAGGAATTGAAACAAAAGGTAGGGAAATGTGTGACATTTTAAAAGCATTATTATTATTATTATTTATTAGATGTAAAGGCCACCTGGTTCCAGAATAATTTTGTTTAGCTTATAGTTTTTAAAACAGAAAAACAAAGAAAACATCTGAAGCATTTAGAAAACTATATCCCATATAATCCTCCCCCAAAATAAAAAATATTCCACTACCGACAAGCCTTCTCAAATCTCTTACTGTAAGACCTTTCAAGATTCTTGGAATATCATCGAATATGGCTAGAGAAACTGACACAGCAACATATTGATCTTAAACTGGAGCTGTTCCTGTTGGGTATCTTACCAGAGAAGTTTAGTAAAGAAAATATATATTTGATTTTACATGTAATAACGGCAGCAAGAATGGTATTTGCACAAAATTGGAAAGCAGAAAAAATTCCTACAAAGGGAGAGCTAATTAAGAAAACATTAGAATGTGCAGAAATGAGTAGATTAACATTAGCAATTAGAGGGAAGGAAGAATTGGAGTATTACAACATATAGGGGCAATTTTATTAATGGATAGAGACTGAATATAGACAATGGGCAATGTAAAAATAAGAAATATGGGGAAAATATGTTGTAATACATTAAGTTTAAATGTAAGAGGAAAGAAAAATATGTACTAAGAAAATGATGATAAATGTTGAATATGATGACACAAAAAAATTTTGTACCCAGATATTACACTGATTGATTAATGATGAATTGTTTGTTTAAAAATTAAAAAAAAAAATCCTATGGGAAAAAAAATCAAATCTCTTACTGTAAGACCTTTCAAGATTCTTGGAATATCATCGGGGAAGGAACTACATAGATCTCAGAAACAACAGGCAGAAACCATGAGAGATATGCAGATATGGCTTTATAGATTATAAACAACACCTTGAATTGCACCTGGAAACTCACTGACAATTAGTGTAGCTTAGTTAGCATTAGTGTTCCATGGACTTTGCAAGGAATTCTCAGCAATGCCCCACTGCTGCATTGTGAACCAACTATAGCTTCTGATTGGTCTTCAAAGGCAGCCCGACCTAGACTGCATTGCAGTAATTCCACCTTTAGGTGACTAGGATTTGAGAAACTATCTGAAGGGTTTCCTGATCCAGGAAGGGATGCAACCAGATGAAGTTATGCAAAGGTACTCTTATCATAGTTGCTATCTGCTCTTCAAGTACGAGCAACATGTACCAGATAACCTACAGATTAAACACTAGTCGTGAACAGGGGAGTGTAACCTCATCCAAGACTAAAGATGGAATGAACCCAGATCTGGGGTGCTCAAAAGTCCACAGGCACCTGGTTTTGACAGGATTGAGCATGATGCTTTAAACATCTGCCATTTAAAGTTCTCCAGTGCCCTGGTCAATAATTTTTATTTTAAAGTTCACAATTATTCTAAAGTTCACAGTTATTGAAACTCTTGCTGTTTTTTTGAATTGCATAATAGAAACTGATGTGCCAACTGATTTTATTTCATGATGTAATGAGTTTTTCCTTTTTCTCAATATGTACTTTAGGCTGAGGATACTCAGTTAGAACTGGAGAAATTGTTAGCATATGTAAAATTGCAAGAAGATGAGGTTCATACACAGAAGAATTTAGTTTTTGAGAAACAACAAATGTTTGAGAAACTTGAAGAGGAATTTAAAGAAGAAACAAAAAAACTAAAAGAAAAGGTGAGTAAATGACAAGTAGAATTATGTTCAAAAATATGGCCTAAAAATTCAAACTGTTTTTTTTTATAGTATGTCCCTTTTATTTCATGATGTAATGAGTTTTTCCTTTTTCTCAATATGTATTTTAGGCTGAGGATAGTCAATTAGAACTGGAAAAATTGTTAGCATTTGTAAAATTGCAAGAAGATGAGGTTAATACACAGAAGAATTTAGTTCTTGAAAAACAACAAATGTTTCAGAAACTTGAAGAGGAATTTAAAGAAGAAACAAAAAAACTAAAAGAAAAGGTGAGTAAATGACAAGTAGAATGATGATCATAAATATTGCCTAAACATTCAAAATGGTTTTTTTAAATAAGCACAGGTTTTTTTGACAGTATGCCCCTATTATATTTCATGTTATTTCTAAAAAGCCTCTAATTTTAAAAATTCAAGATAGTACAGATGAAAAGGAACTCTTTTGCCAAAATTGCACAGAACATATTCAGAAAGTAGAATTGATTATCAGTTGCAATGGTGATAGCTTTGAAAATGGGATTAACCAAATTAATAGAGGAATGGAGCATTTTTTCAAATTACCAGAAGATGAGCATGTTATCTTGCTGTGAGGAATCAGTCTTAAGGGAAGAGGAAGCTGAACTGGATAGGACTTTGCTTTAATCCACCATGATTCTTTCACATTCATTGAAGTTTGAATTTTTCTTACAAAATCTATAAAATAAATTAAAACTTGGGGAGGGAGGTGAAATTGTGTTTCATATTTGGAGTTTTATTTCTGTAAGCCACCCAGAGTCATCATAAGTTAGTTGGGAAGCCATATAAATTTATTTAATAAACAAATTTCAATTTTGTCCTGATTCAACTGATCAATTTTCAGTTCGATCTGTACTGAAAATTCTGCTGCCAAAGTCATTTATAAAGCAGAGTTCTAACCTGGAAGGACCATGGCTTGGCCAGTTCCTGTTCATTTTTCTTTCCATAAATGTTATGGTGGATCACTTAGATTTAACTTTTTAAACGCATCTTCTTTCAACTTTAAGCAGACACAGGAGCACTAGTAGCTCTGGTTCAATTTTGCAGGGAGGATCATTTGGACATAAACCATCATAGAACCAAAATACTGTTATTTTCCAGAAGACCTAAGAGAAAAATGAATTAAATTCTTGGACATTTTTAAAAGGCAGAAACCTCCAAATTACTGCCTTCTAATTAACCCTACAATGCACATGGAGGAAAAAAAATCCTGATATCTATGACATTGTCCCATTACATTACCAACCTGTCTTCTGTAAACCTTGTGTAGATAAAAATGTTACCTGATTCTGATTATTTTTAAAAAATACCTCTGCTTTACACTCTTGGTGCCTTTCTTCCCGTATTTCTAAATACTGTATTTTTCAGAGTATAAAACGGTCTGGACTATAAGACGCACCTACCTTTTTTGGTGAGGAAAACAAGAAAAAGAAATCTACCTCTGCCTCTCAGCAATTTTGCCTCTTTGCAGCAAACAGCAAATAGCCTGTGTTACTTTCATTTTCAGCATAGCTTGATTAGCACAAGAAAAAAAAATCTGCTCCCAGCAATTTACCTCCTTGCAGCAAGCAGCAGAGGCCCGTGCAGCAATAGGCAATGGCAATATCTGCAGCCTGAAATAGCTGAGAGTCGAGAGGCCGATCCAACAGACAATCAACTTGTGCTAATTAGGCTGTGCTGAAGCTGAAATGAGCTGTTTCTTCTTGCTGCTTGCTGCAAGGAGGTAAATTGCTGGGAAGCAGAGGCCATAGGGTGGGGGGCCAGTAGATGGGCGGGACTACATTTGGTGTATAAGACACACCTAAATTTTCACCCCCTTTTAGGGGGGAAAAGGTGCATCTTATACTCCGAAAAATACTGTAATCAGACATTTTGGACTTGTTCCCAAATAATCAGGAGTAAATAGCCCAATTCTTCTTCATCAAAATCATATTTCAGATCCAACACCTAGAAAACAATTCCCTTGAGCTGCAGCAACTGCTCTGCCTGAAAGAAGATGAGAGTCAGCAGAAAGTAGAGAACATGAAGGATGCAAAACAGCTGGACAGTATCTCTGAGTCCCAAATGGAAGCCCTGCAGAAGGAGAAAACTGAGCTGGTTCAGAAACTTCAGAGCACTGAAGAAAACATCAAATACATCAGCCAAGAAAAAGAGCATCTGAGAACAGAAATGAAGGTCCTTCAAACCGAGAAGGATAACATGATTCAAACTGTCCACCGTCTGAGTGAGACTATAGAGAGGCTTGTTCCAGTGGTAAGAATTCATTCATTCATTCAATTTATTTGCCGCCATCTTGTTTCAAAGCGACTTAATTTGCTGCCACTTTTAAGGGAAATCCACTTTTTTATTGGATTAAGATTTTCTTTAAATGGCTGGTCAACTTGATTTCATGTGACTTTTGTTGTTGTTGTTGTTGTTGTTAAAGAATTTGGAACTGCAGCAAGAACTGAGGGAGGCTAATAATTCTCTCAGAGAACATGAGGAAATGGTAAAAGAACTAAAAGAAAAAATCGTAACTACAGATTTTCAGACTTTGAAGATTCATGAGGAGCTGAAGAAAAAGGTAAGAAAGTTGCAATTTTTAAATGTTTTAATATTAAAGAGTGCCTGCTGCTTTAAACTCTCTCCTCCCCCCTTCCCCTGGTCAATATTTCTTATTTAACATAAAAGAATTGGTGGAATTGCAATTATACGAACTCTTAATATTTCTTTGTTTTATACAAAAGGAAATTGCAATTGATGTCCTCAATAATTGTATCTCATGACATCATCATCTCTCTCTCTCTCCCTCTCTCTCTCTCCCTCTCTCTCTCTCCACACACATACACATTAAGAGTGAGCATAGTCAACTTGAACTGGAGAAATTGTTGATGTATGTAAAATCACAAGAAGATGAAATAAATATCCAGAAGAATTTGGTTCTTGAGAAACAACAGATGTTTCAGAAATTTGAAGAGGAGATTAAAGAAGAAACAAAGCACTTGAAAGAAAAAGTAAGAAAATTACATTTTTTTAAAAGCCTGGACCGATAAAAAGGAACTATTTTGTTAATTTATACATATTCATACTATGAAATTGGCTATACAAGAAGCAGGATTAACCAAATTTGGAGGAATGAGCATTCAACAGCTATTAGAATGTAATAGTTTTGTGCCGCCTCTCATTTCAACAGTAGCTTCATTCTGAAGACCAGTGTCAATGGAACATATTGTCCTGCTCATGTCGTTCTTGTAGGCTTGCAAGGCTTTAAGAGCCTTGGTGGTGCAGCGGACTAAGTGCTGTTATGTAGCACTTAGCTGCCAGCTGCCTGCAATTAGTGCGAGTTCAAATCTCATCAGGCTCAAGGTTGACTCAGCCTTCCATCCTTCCAAGGTAGGTAAAGTGAGGACCCGGATTGTGGGGGCAATAAACTGACTTTGTAGAAACACCGCTTATGGGAGGCCAAAAGCCCTAATAAGCAGGTATATACAAAAGAATGAAGGCTATTGCTATAAGTGCATTGTAAGCCGCCCTGAGTCTTCGGAGAAGGGCGGCATATAAATTGAACTAATAAATAAATAAATCACAGTCTAATTGGTTTTCAAGCGACTAGATTTGGGTTTGATTTGATTGGTCTGGACTCTTTCATGCTCTTAAAAGTTAGACCAAATTATAAAATATATAACTTATATTAAAAGTAATTTACATTTTTGTCCTGAATTTGGATCATGCAACTTGAAAAATCAAGTGAGATCCTTATCTTACGAATGTTTTTGGTCCTGGTTCGTACCAAACATTCTTCCCCCAGGGGTATTTATCTAGGATGTCAAACAACATTATTTACTTCCTCCACTCCTGTTTAACTTTTTCATAAAGTTCAAACTGGGCCACTAGAGGAACCTGGACTTTCACACGTCCACAAACATGCACACACCGTGTTGTCAGAAAAACACATGCCTATTTTGCGTTATGCAGACAACTGTCGAATACACTTAGATTAGAAATTCCTGTAGGAATCAAAAGATGACTGGTGGCCCTTACTCAGTATTGCAAGGATGATATTGTGAAATAAAATATCTTAAACCAAACTCATACCAGGAGATCAAGAATATACTTCAGTTGTTCCCACTATCACCCTGCCAGTAACTGTGCGAACTAAAATTAAAGGATTTATTCATTTTCAGTATTTTAAAGTTACCCTTTTCTGAGCAATTTAGAATTGCTTCTTTATTTTGAGTTCCTGTGATTTTAAGGGAACTTAAGTCAGAATTCTTTAATATTGGCTACATTCATACTAAGCCAATGATTTGTTTTAATTATAGCTTATAAAATGAAGCAGAGTAGAATAATTTACACAGCATGCTAAATTGAGATGGGTATAACTGCATAGGACAATAAAACAGAAAAAAATATATTATGGAATAGAATTATCTGGGAATGTAGGTTAAATACCTGTATCAGACCAGTGCTAGTGTGATTTAACATAAGAGTTAATTTTTACTGAATAAAATGGAAGGACTATTTCAGATAGTGACTAGCCTTTGTTTAATCTTAAAGACTGTCTAATTAAAACGTGGCTTCTTGTTTAGGGAAAGTCTTAAGAAATAGAACGAAAGTCAAGCTTATTATGATTATACAGGTGACTGGTGGAGGATACGGTCAAACATGGTGGGTGCAATTGTGCAATCATGGCACACACAAAAAATGTAAAGCTTTAATTGCATAGTCACAGCTTCCATCTTGACTTTTAAGAACCTCTGCCAATAACCCAGAAGGGCTGAGTTGCAGAAGGGAAAATTTTTGAAATTCTAGAAATTTAGAATATCTGGAAACATTGGAATGGAATGTACTGTATAATCTAATTAGACAAACGATTACATTTTGAAGACTGCCAATTTGTGAAAAAGTGATTATAGTCATGTTTATGTTTATACATCAGTACAGTGGTACCACTTTAAAATGTTTACTGCACTCGAAAGTTAAGAAAATAGCATTTTTTGTGAATCAAAAATAATTTTAAATATTTAAAAAGAGCACTCTAAGGTAAGGTGACCAGATTTTAACATTGGTAAAGAGGGACATTGTGGGCGTGGCTTATTTTGTGGGCGTGGCTAGCTGGTCATGTGACTGGGTGGGCGTGGCTAGCTGGTCATGTGACCGGGTGGCCATGGCTATGTGTATAGGGTAAGGTGAACAGATTTTAACATTGGTAAGAAGGACACCATTGTGGGCGTGGCTTATTGTGTGGGCGTGGCTTGGGGGCCATGTGACTGGGTGGGCGTGGCTAGCTGGTCATGTGACCGGGTGGCCATGGCTATGTGTATAGGGACTACTCAGAGGGCTGAAAAGTCATTTCTGACAGGTCCTCGCACTTTTGACTGGTCCTCACACTTATGACCATCCTCATATTTATGCCTGTGCAGCATTCTTAACAACCATGTCACTCATTTCACAACTGCTTCTCTTCACCATGGTGACAAGATAGGGCAAAAACGTAAAATTTGAGGACAGTCGTAAGTTCGAGGACTGGTCAAAAGTGCGAGGACCAGTCAAAAATAACTTTTTCAGCCCTCCGAGTAGTCCATATGCACAAAAGGACTAACCAGAGGGCTGAAAAAAGTCATTTCTGACAGGTCCTCGCACTTTTGACTGGTCCTCACACTTATGACCATCCTCACATTTATGCCCATGCAGCATTCTTAACAACCATGTCACTCATTTCACAACTGCTTCTCTTCACCATGATGACAAGATAGGGCAAAAATGTAAAATGTGAGGACAGTCGTAAGTTCGAGGACTGGTCAAAAGTGTGAGGACCAGTCAAAAATAACTTTTTCAGCCCTCTGAGTAGTCCATATGCATTAAAGGATACAGCAATAGAGAGGGATGAAGGAAGAGAAATTAGAGTAGGAGTGAGGGTAAGAGAGGGAGGAAGAGAGGAGGAGGAGGAGAAAGGAAGAGGAAGTAGGGAGGAGAAAAAGAGGGTGGGGGGAAGAGAAAGTAAGAAGGAAAGAAAAGAGAGAGGTGGTAGGTTTGAGGAGAAAGATTGCTGTACAATAAAAAAGATGAACGGGAAGAAAGCCAACCCCAAACAAATATAAAGATATTAAGATAAAGAATGAATTGTTAAACTTTAAAGAATAAAAGAGAACAAATATGAATAAATAGCAGTAATTAGAAACACACATACAAACATACAATGTATTTTCTTTGAACAGAATATTTGGCTGGTTCACAAATTTAAACAGCGTTTAGTCATTTCAATTAAATTTACAATTTCTATATTTCCTTTTTGCCATATTTATTCCTCATCTATTTTTTAAAAAAACCAATATTACCCTTCATCCTCATCTCTAATCTTAATCAAATTCAATTTTTCCCTTCTATTCTATATTATACCCCTTCCCATTGTCATCTATTTTTATATCCATCCTCACATTGGTTAATTATGTAATTATGTAATACAGTTGTTTAATACAAATTCAACATTTTAATATAAATCAATTAGTTATATAACTATCTTTTTTGTATATTAATCAATATGAACATGAATATTCCAATTATTTCCATGCAATCCAATTTCTTACAAATCAATTAATTATATCTATCAATAATAATAAACCAAATAATTTCCCCCATATATACCTCCAAACCACAACTTAATTGCTGGGTCGCCCGCCCCTCCTCCCATCCGCGCGGCATCAGCCTACCCTAGCCCAGGGCTGGGCAATTGTGGCTCTTTTACAACGTTTGGACTTCAACTCCCGCCGAGCCCATTCTGGGGAATTGTGGAGAATTCTGGGAGTTGAAGTCCACAAGTCTTAAAGCTGCCAAGGTGGGAGACATCAAGCATGAGGCTGGCCAAGTATCCTCCTTGAAAGACAACAGTTGAACATCAGGAAAGCTGTAAGAGGGCAGGGCTACATTTGGAAATTTTCGCATTTTTGCAGGTGGTGCATTACGATCTGGTGTCTGCAATGGAGAGCAAAATCCGGCTTCTTCTCTCCGCTGTAAGGGCGGCATCAGGATTCCACCTTGGTATATTTGCAGCACAAGGCAGCCCTCCTCTCCTGTCGCTTGGGACTCGGAGCGGTAAACAGCGTCTGGTTCGGGGAGCAGCCGGATTTTGCTCTCCATTGCTCTCTCAGCCCCCTGCAAGCTCTCGTCTCTCGAGGAACGCTCCCTGAAATGGCGCGGGAAACTTTGGTTGGGCTTCTCGAGAGATGAGAGCTTGCAGGGGACCGAGAGAGCAATGGAGAGCAAAATCCGGCTGCTCCCTGAACCAGACGCTGTTTACCGCTCCGAGTCGGCAGGAAACGAGGGCTACCTTGCGCCGCAAATATACCAAGGTTTTTTTTTTTAACACTGATCAGCTGTAGGTCGGCCCTTTGAAGCCCCGCGGCAAGAGTTCAAACAGTTTTTTTTCCCTCTAGCCATCAGCGGGGACTAAGGAGGCAGAATGAAAAATCGGGACTTTTTTAAAACGCCGCGGGACGCGGGACAAATTGCTCAAAAGCGGGACTGTCCCGCCAAAAGCGGGACGTCTGGTCACCTTACTCTAAGGGCTTCAGCTGTTTAGGGAAACGAACAAATTTCAATTTCGTCAATATTGTTTACCATAAATCTTGACTTTGACTTACAGTAGTTTTCCCTAACTATGCATCCTCCATATTTTGACCTTGAATGATGGGGATTTTTTAAAAAACTGAATTTATTCTCAAAGGGATTAGCTGCGGAAGGCTGCTTTACTAATGGTGTAACCTTTAATTTCTTAGATAATAAAATCAAATGAAGAGGTAAGCAGCCTTACTGAGGAAAAGAAACAATTGACAGCAGAATTGAGGGAACAGGAGAAATGTGTCCAACAGCTACAGAAAGAGAAGGCCTTGCTTCAAAAAGAGAGAGAGGACCTTCAGCAGGTTATGCAGAACATTGGAGAAGAAACACAAAGCCAACTTCAGGAGACCTTATCTGAAAAAGCTGCAAAGGTACGTGATGCTTTCCGGTGAATGGAATTATGTTTGTACATTAGTATATTAAATATTTTTAAGGGGATGTGGTGGCTCAGTGGCTAAGATGCTGAGCTTGTTGATCAAAAGGTTGGCAGTTCAGTGGTTCGAATCCCTAGTGCCACATAACAGGGTGTGCTCCCATTACTTGTCCCAGCTTCTGCCAAAGCACGTAAAAAATGCAAGTAGAAAAATAGGGACCACTTTTGGTGGGAAGGTAACAGCATTCTGTGCGCCTTTGGCCTTTAGTCATGCCAGCCACATGATCATGGAGACATCTTTGGACAGCGCTGGCTCTTCAGCTTTGAAACAGATGAGCACCCCTAGAGTCGGGAACGACTAGTACACATGTGCGAGGGGAACCTTCACCTTTTTATATTAAATATTTAATGAATGAAAAGTTAGGAAAATAGCACTTATGAATCTAAAATAATTTGAAATGTTTAAACTGAGTATGCTAAGGAATTCAAATGTTTAGGGAAAGAAGCAAAATTTAATTTCCTTAGTATTCCATTACCTTCCACTGAGGACCTGAATACCACATGGGTCAGAAAGAGGGCTGAGAAGTTACCTACAGACCCCTCACATCATGGACATAAACGGTTTCAACTCGCCCCCTCTAGATAGCGTTATAGGGCATTGCATGCCAAAACAACTAAACACAGAGACAATTTTTCCCTCTCTCTGCTGAATACCTAATCCTCACAGCATTGTCTTATGTCTAAGGATATTTACCCATGTAGTAAGTCTGTATTACTATTATCCTTCTCATCTTTCCTACTACCTCCACCTATTGGTATCTTATGATTATATTACTTTGTTGTTTTTAATGAACACTGAGAGCTTATGCACCAGAGACAAATTGCTTGTGTGTCCAATCACATTTGGCCAATATGTTTTGTTTTGTTCTTTAGACAAACTTGATGCTACACAGGCTTTGATTTAGTTTTCCCTAACCATGCATCTTCCATATTTTGACACTGACATATAAGGGTTCAAAACTGTTATCTGTCAAAGGCGCTAGCTGAGAAAGGCTGCTGTACTAATGGTGTAACATTTAATTTCTTAGATAATAAAATCAAATGAAGAGATAAGCAGCCTTACTGAGGAAAAGAAACAATTGACAGCTGAACTGAGGGAACAGGAGAAATGTGTCCAACAGGTACTGAAAGAGAAGGCCTTGCTTCAGAAAGAGAGAGATGACCTTCAGCAGCTTATGCAGAACATTGGAGAAGAAACACAAAGCCAACTTCAGGAGACCTTAGCTGAAAATGCTGCAAAGGTACGTGATGCTTTCCGTTGAATGGAATTATGTTTGTACATTAGTATATTAAATATTTACTGAATGGAATGTTAGGAAAATAGAATTTGTGGATCTAAAATAATTTGAAATATTTCAAAAGAGCACTGTAAGAGATTCAGTTGTTTAGGGAAACAAGCCCATTTTAATTTCGTTGTTATTTTTACCATGAATTTTGATGCTACACAGAATTTAATTTAGTTTTTCTTAACTGTGCATATTTTGATCCTTAATGATGGGGGTTAAAAAACTGCATTTATTCTCAAACGGATTAGCAGGGGAAGGTTGATTTAGTAATGGTGTAACATTTAATTCCTTAGATAATAAAATTAAATGAAGAGGCAAACAGCCTTACTGAGGAAAAGAAACAATTGACAGCAGAATTGAGAGAGCAGGAGAAATGTGTCCAACAGCTACTGAAAGAGAAGGCCTTGCTTCAAAAAGAAAGAGATGACCTTCAGCAGGTTATGCAGAACATTGGAAAAGAAACCGAAAGCCAACTTCAGGAGACCTTATCTGAAAACGCTGCGAAGGTACGGGATGCTTTCCAGTGAATGAAATTTCATGGATATATTGTTTCTTATTCTGTAAAACGATTGGTGCCAGATGTGTAGGTGTAGCTTTCAACCGAAACATCACATTGTAATTTCCCTTAAATCTTAGCTCTAATTAAGGCATCCTTGGGGGTGGGGGGTTTGAATGCTTTATGTCAAGGTTCGGCACCCTTCAGGTAACCTTAACATTATTAACATGAGCTGAAGATTGATGTTCAGTAAAACTATATCATGCAACCAAGTAGGAATTGGATTTTCTGGCAGGAGGACATTCCTACATTATTGAAATTTTACATTAAAGGGTAGAATACAGTGTCACTGTTTCTTCAGCCTTTGTCCGGTCATACAATCAGTGAGCGCTGTTGGAGTATCGTGTATATTTTGTTCAGAAATTCTATATAAATATAAAGTATAAGTTTATCATTTGCCTAGCTCTGTTACACCAATTGGAGAAGAAGTTGGAGCAAAATCAGACTTGTAATACTTGTTTTTAGATCCATTTGATTCAACAGTGCCAATTGAAAAGAAATTAAATTAGACCTTCTGAATTCTGATTTATATTTAAAATTCGTTTTGTTGGTAGATACAGAAAGTAGTTACTGAGTCAACAAATGTGATCAATATTTACTAAGGGAAAAAATAACAATGGAAATAGCATCAACCATGACAAAGCAAACCCAGCTTGAAAGTAGCCAGCCTGTTTCCTATTTCAATATCTGCTTAAAGTTGTTCTTTAAGCACATTTTTTAAATGTGGAAGTAAAGTCTGTTGATTCACTGTTTAATCAGCATCCCTATTTTAGGCAGCCAAAAATAAGAAATTGAGCATTATCTTTTCATATGTGAGCCTTCCTGTCCTATTTTTTTTTTCCACCAAGGATTAATGCATGTAATACAAACTTGCAGATAAATCTGGGATCCCTGTGACCTTGCAAAACCTTTAAATGTTGTCCACACCAACTAATAATCAAACTCTGGGTATGACTGAGATCTTTTTTTCGTTCATATTTTTATTAGTTTATCAAAATATAAAACACAGAAATACAAAGAAAAATGAAAATAGTGAGGAAATAGGGGAGGAAAAAAAGGAAGAGGAAAAAGTGTAGGATAAAGGGGAAATGAAAAAGAAAAGCATTGACTTCCAATTCCTTTTGGCACAGTATAATAACATGCAACGTCAACTTTTTACTTCTACATAATAATATACAGTAGCCAGGAGGCCCGATTGCTCAGCAGTTAAAGATGCTGAGCTTGTCAGCTGGAAAGCTGATAGCCCAGGTTTGAGACTTGAGCGCAACGCTACGGAGTGAGCTGCTATTATTTGCCCCAGCAACTGACCACCTAGCAGTTCAAAAGCCTGCAAATGCAAGTAGATAAATAGGTACCACTTTGGTGGGAAAGTAACTCATTCTGTGTGCCTCAGCATAGGGTCATGCTGACCACATGACCATGGAAGTGTCTTCAGACAATGTTGGCTTCCTCAGCTAACAAACAAAGATGAGCCTTTGTTTCAAAGATGAAAGTAGTTTCAAAGATGAAACCTTGAAATTTATATACAGTACTAGCCATTTCTATAACAACAAACCTATCTAATCAGCAAAACCCAAATTCAAAGTTTCATATATTTTTTTCCATTTCAAGCACAAAATCCAAAAGCGGTTTCCAAATAGAAACAAAACTAATTGTATTCATTTCTTTAATCAAAGAAGTCTATTTAGCCATCTCTGCTAACTCCGCCCATTTTTTACAGCCATTCGTCCATTGCAGGAATCAAAGTGTCTTTCGATTTTTAGAGTTCTATTAAGTATCCTATTTAGTTGGACATAATCTGCTCATATTGAGATCAGGGTGGATTTGATTTAAATCGAGTTGATTTAAATCACAATTTAAATCATGATTTAAATCACTAGTAAAAAGGCTTGATTTAAATCAATTCGATTTAAATCATAATTTTTAAAGAGCAACTGTCATCTCTGCTACTCCCTTGATTCACCGATAGTCCCAGTGTTGCAGAATATACAGCCTCATGCTACATAACTAAGCTCCATTTCATGCTGAATAAACTAAATTATTTATGTATCTTAAATAGAAAACTATCTTACAATAGATTTTTACCCCAAAAGTTTTTTATTAAAAAATATTAGATAAAAATCAAAAAAATCCGATTTAAATAAAAAAAAAATCTGATTTTTTTAAAAAAAATCATTGATTTTTATCCACCCTGATTGAGATAATAGTTTACCACTGAATATATATTCTCTTCTTTCCAGGATTCTGAAATGAATGTCAAACAAAAGATGCAAGACTGCTTTGAAATCTTGGAGGCAAAAATATTCAGAATAATGGTAAATGCTGTCACTATTTTTCTCTTTTTCCCATTGATTAAATCTGCATTAAGTGGAGTTCTAACTTCTACCTTTTATCCTTTTTCTGCCATTCTCACACAATGACTGAACTCCATTTCCAGTTATACCCAATCTATCTGTGAACTTCTATATTATACCAGAAAACAGAGGAACATCCATTTGCAATCCAGAAGTCTTGATATAGAAAGATAAATTGTAAATCAAGTGGTTTCCTTAGAATAACTGCTACCCCAAGAACTCTTCTCTTGTGCTGCTGTTATCAGGGGTGTCTTCAGATTATGGTTTTAAAAAAACCAAAAGCCCACACCTCACAATAGCAGTAGTAACAGTGTGATCAAAACTCCATTTCTTTTTTGGAATATTGCATTTAAAAGATGGACAGTGTTGATCATGTCATTGTGGCTGCCATTTTGAGATTTTTTTTTTTTTTTTAATCACACCCTGCAGATATCTCCCACAGCTACTTTTCCCCAGCTGTCTGTGAATGTATAATGTATGTTCTGGTGAGGGGGAGGATTACAGCAAGGACAAACCTAATGTTCAAGAATGGGTACAGTAGCTTGTTCACATGAATGCAGTTCCAAAAAATGCACGTTTCTGAATAGCACAAGATAGTGATCTCTTTGACTATGAGATTTTATTTTATTCCTGCTATGACTTTTGTGATTTTGAGAAAATCACTGATTTTAAAAGATGAAAACCTTGGTTAATTTCAGCCTGTTTCTTTTTTTTATTTCAGGAGGCTCTGAAGAAATTTCCAGAGCTGGAAAAAAGATCTGAATATTTCATAAACATCTCTCTTCAGATCAAGAATCAGTTTGATAGCAAGAAAGCTCTAATAGCTAAGTGGCTTCCTGGCATTTCTCTCCAGGAAGCCAATAACATCAAAAGGCTTCAGATAGAAACTGAGCGTATGAGCAACAGCCTCTATAGCCTGTTGAACAAACTCCAGGTACTAGCTTTAAATAGTATTTTGTATCACATGCTAAACTATTAAGTGGTTTGTTTAGTTGTAACAGTAACAGGGTTGGAAGGAAGGTCATCTAGTCCAACCCCCTGCTCATGCAGGAGACCTGTACTAGGGATTCGAACTGCTGAACTGCCAACTTTTCTGATCGACAACTAAAACTAGTCAGACTTAGTTTTAGTTTTGTATGTACAGGTGGATCTCGACTTACAACTGTAATGAAGTCTGCCCATTCAGGTTATAAATTGTGACCGCCATAGAACAGGTGATCACATGAGTAACCCAATTTTACAACGTTTTGACGCAATTCAGTAAATCACCATGGTCAGTAAGTGAATCTGTGGCCATTAAGTGAATCCATTGTTGTTAAGTGAATCCATTGTTCATTATAGGGCGTTTTTGCCCAAAACCCAGAAGTTAATGCTAGTTTTCAGCACAAAGTATGATAAATCCCAGTCATGTGACAATATAACACTGGGAAATGGCTGCAAGCATCTGAAATGTGATCACATGACTTCAGGGTGGCCACAGCCATCAGAAGTTCACAACAAGTTTGTAAGTACCATTGGGGTTTTGTCTGTGGTAACTTTAATCACTAAGCAACCGGTCATAAATCAAGGACTACCTGTATCTAGATCTATCCTTTGAGGTTAAACTATGATTCATGGCTTAGTGGGCCTTACAAACTCAGTTATAGCTTGATCAGTAAATTTGGTTAGATAAATTCCTAGATTAAAGTCACGTGTGAATCTGTTAGTTTGTTAGTTCTTTTGTACAGTTTGCATTACAGGTAATCCTTGACTTGCAACCACAATTGAGCCCAAAATTTCTATTACTAAGCAAGACAGTTGTTAAATGAGTTTTGTCCCATATTAAGGCCTTTCCTGCCATAGTCAGTGTATCACCGCAGTTGTTAAATTCATATTACAGTTGTTAAGCGAATCTGGCTTCCCCGTTGACTTTGCTTGTCAAAAGGTCGTAAAAGGTAATCACATGACCCCAGGACACTGTAACCGTCATAAATATGAGTTAGTTACCAAGGGTCTGAATTTTGATCACATGACCATGGGGATGCTGCAATGGCCATAAATATATTATAACTTTGAATAGTCACAAAATGTAAATATGTTCGGATTTTAAGGAAGATCTCTCTTGGATCTCAGGAAAGAGCCTGTAGTACAGTGGACTAAAGCACTGTTATTAACATCTGCTGCTTGCAATTACTGCAAGTTCAAATCTCACCAGGCTCAAGGTTGACTCAGCCTTCCATCCTTTCAAAGGTAGGTGAAATGAGGACCCAGATTGTGGGGGCAATAAGCTGACTTTGTATAAATATACAAAAGTATGAAGGCTATTGCTTAACGCATTGTAAGCCGCCCTGAGTCTCCGGAGAAGGGCGGCATATAAATTAAAGCAAAAAAACCAACAACAGAGGTCTGTTTAGCTCAATCTTCCCCAGCTTAAGGCTCCTCCAGCGAGAAGCACTTCAGCTCCCAGAATTCCCTAGCCAGCAATCCTTTGTTGAGAATTTGAGACAATTGTCTATATATCTGGAGGGCACCCAGGTTGGGAAAGATTGATCCAGTCCACAATTCTGTTGTTCATAGACTAAGTCATGTCTTGAGAATGGCTGTTGGTCGGATTCTGAAAGATCTCCTGTATGGAGAATTAGTGCAGGGAAAGCGCCTCAGAGGGAGACCACAGCTGCGATATAAGGATATCTGCAAGAGGGATCTAAAGGCCTTTGGAATGGACATTAACAACTGGAAAACCTTGACCTCTGATCATTCAGCTTGGAGGCTAAAGACACAGTATGGCCTTCTCCAATTCGAAGAGACACTTGTTTGGTAGGCTGAGCCAAAAAGGCAGTCCCAGAACCAGCGAAATCTTGGGGCTGGGCAGGGGACAGAATGTATCTGCCCTTAGTGTGGAAGGGATTGCCACTCTCGAATTGGCCTTTTTAGTCACACTAGATGCTGTTTTAGGACCTCTTTCCAGAGCACATGCTGGCTGAGGAATTCTGGAAGTTGAAGTCCACAAGTCGTAAAGTTGCCAAGGTTGGAGACCCTTGGACTAAGTGGTGTCTTAGGAACAGTCAATTCTACACCTCAGAAACAAAACAGCACAAACTCTCTTCAACAATGGGCAACGTAAGATTCAATAAGTGGAAAAACAGGCTGTTGCAGTTTTTAATAGAGATGGTAGCCCACATTAAACAAAACAAGTTTTGTGGCACCTTTGAAAGCTGACTAAACTTATTGTAAAGTTAAAGTTTACTTACAGAGTAAAGCTAAAATGGTGTGCAGCTTAACCCAAGATAAATGACTAAACTCAATGAGATTTTGAGCACTTATGTTCGGTTAGTAATAGCAACAGCAATAGCACTTAGACTTACTGTATATACCACTTCACAATGCTTTACAGACCCTCACTAAGCAGTTTACAAAGTCAGCATATTGTCCCCAACAATTTGGCTCCTCATTTTACCGACCATGGAAGGATGAGTCAACCTTGAATCGGTCAGGATCGAACTCCTGGCTATGGGCAGAGTCAGCCTGCAATACTGCCGTTTAACCACTGTACCACCACGGCCCTTAATTAACTTCTTCATCTTCAACAGTACTTTTTTACCTGCTTGTGCGACAAAAGAAAGGAATACTACACAAATGTCAGCAAGTACACAAGGGAGCTGCTTGATGAGCGAAGAAATCAACATGCACTGCTAATGCAAATTCAGCAACTCGGAAAGCATCACATGGCACAGCAGGGAGCTGGATCACGGCAGTCTGGTATCTCAGAACTGATACAGAGCTTGGATGGTCTCACAAAGGTAATGCTTTTCCAAAGGTTGCCTGCTGGGCTGGGGCTGGGGCTTGGGCAGGGGCAAGCAGCATTACCAAGACCTTGCTATATCTCCAAGCACCATTTCCAAACCCCTCCCTCCGTTAAATTACAGTTCAAAAGAATCAAATGGCCAAAATAACATGCGTTTGGAAAAATCCCACACAGCCTCACAACATTTGGATGGGGAAGCATCTCTCGCAGAACAGAACCTGAAATATTTGCCACCCTGTGTTGTAGGCTGTGGTAATAATTTCCATCATCTGCTGTTTTTTGTTTTTGTTTTTATTTATTTAATTAGAAAATGTGCATTTGTTGGTTATACAACAATAAAAACAGTAACCCCACAGCCCCCTGGCAACAGCAATCAGTCAAACAAGCTACTTGATGGGATCTATCCCACTCCGGGTTCCTCAGGCCAGAGGTAGTATTCAGCAGGTTCTGACCAGTTCTGGAGAGCCAGTAGCGGAAATTTTGAGTAGTTCAGAGAATCAGTAAATACCACCTCTGACTGGCCCCGCCCCTATCTATTCTCTGCCTCTCAAGTCCCAGCTGATCGGAGCTGAGCAGAGGAACTGGGGATTTTGCAGTAATCTTCTCCGGGAGTGGGGAGGGAATGGAGATTTTACAGTATCCTTCCCCTGCTACGCCCACCAAGCCGCGTATGCTACGCCACACCCACAGAACCGGTAGTAAAAAAAAATTGAATCCCACCACTGCCCCAGGCCCATTGGAAAAAACAAGGTCTTCAGAACCTTGTGAAACAGTGCCAAAGTGGGGGCCAGTCTAACCTCTACAGAGATGATGAGTTAATAGCAATATCACTTATATACCGCTTCACAGTGCTTTACAGCCCTCTCTAAGCGGTTTACAAAGTCAGCATATTTCCCCCAACAATCTGGGTCCTCATTTTACCCACCTTGGAAGGATGGAAGGCTGAGTCAACCTTGAGCCTGGTGAGATTTGAACTGCCAAATGGCAGGCAGCCTGCAGTACTGCACTCTAACCACTGCACCACCATGGCTCCGACTTAAGGTCAGTCTTTAGAGCCATTTCCTGGAGACTCGTGTTCCAGAAGCCACTAAGACCACCAAGGCTGATGCCACAAAGATTCTGCCTCTAATCCACAATGATATTGTACAATGCCATTCAAAAGCCAAGATCTTTTAGAAGTCAGTGAAGGACTAAAGAGAGCCACTGGCTTGCTTTTTTTTTTCCTGTTACCTTTCTCATCTGGATTTGAAAGGAAAAATACCTATCCTTCATGGAAGACAGGTTATTAACAAAGTTAAAACTTTTTACCTTGATGTAATAATAGATGCTGCCAATACTGCTTTTCTTTCCAAGAGAGCTCAGGGCAGTTTCTGAGATAAGAACACACACACACACACCCCAAATGTAAATGAAATCATCATATAAAAAGTTGAATATTCTGTTTGACAAAAAAAAAAACAAAGATGTGCATTTACATAATTCAGCGTGTGGGCTACTTTGCCAATTATATTTGAGATGGCACAGCAGAAGAGGGAAATACTAAACCAGAGTTAAGAGTTTTTCCTAAAGGCTGTAATTCAAGGTAGAGCATTTTACAAAGTCAGTCCTTGGCGTGTCCAATTAAAACTTGTAGGAAGAAAATAATATATCTGTTGGAATTTCATTCCTGCTATGATGCTCCTTTGAACAGGTGGGAAGATGAATCAGATTAAAGTTTTCCTTTCAGTGCTGTTAACTGAGCTAGAAGGGTTAATACTGCATCTGTGTTAAGCGGTTTCTGCATAAAGTTCTTCCCGGTTACTGTGCTGTGAAAAAAATAAGTCATGGTACATGTCTTGACCAACCAGATCATTTTTATGTATTTCTTGGCACAGCAAATTTCAAAAGAAGTTTCTGAAATGGAAGAAGAACTCGGTAGCACAGAGGTTACGTTACAAGAGTTGGAATGTGAGAACATAAAGATGGAACGGTATTTGGAACGGTGCTCAGATTATTTTGATTTGCAAGGCTTTGAGGCAACAATAAAGCAAAATATTGAAAAGTTTCGGTCCATTAATCAATTGCTACAGCCCAAAGCTCAGGTACGAAATGCAGGTTTAAAACGTGTAGCACAGTATTATTGTTTGTGTCTTGTTAAGGGGTGCGCTTGGAGATACGGCTGTACATGTAGTTGCGTGTTTCTTATAGCTTTAATAATCCAAAGCAACGTGGATTATTGGACATGTTGATCTAGAGTTTGCAAAAACTGCGTTCTGATGTAATTGGAAGACTCTATGTAAGAGATAGCAATGTAACATACCTGCCCCAACATCTATTGCTGCCTTTATATTACAGCCCTATTTTCAAGCTAGATCGGCGCTGGAAGCCATAAACGCCAACTACTGCAAAGAGATTGATGCTACTCTGAAGGCATGTAGAGAAGAAACAAAGGAACTGATTCTACAGTTAGATATGTTAAAGAAAGAGCAAAAATCCTGTGCTGTTCCTAATATGGCACTAGAAGAAGAAAACCATAAGCTAGAGTATAAACTGAAAGCAACAGAACAAGATACAAAGGTATGTTTTTGTTAAACTCCTGTATGGCACCTTAGTCTGATATCTCTTCGTTTGTCTAATTTGATTAATGCTTAGTTCTTTTCCATGCAACTTTTCCTGGTATGCCATTTATTCAATTTCTATTTAAGTCTCTGCTTTCCCAAATAGATGATGTTCCCAAAACCAAATCTAGTTCTTGAATAGGTTTCCTGACAGAATAAGTTTTATCCAACTTTTCTAATTCAAGAGGACAGATGGTAGAAAATTTGGTTCCATCTGTGTGGTAGACTTTGATAAATCATGACAGTTTGATTTAAAAGAAATCTATAGAATGATGCCTTTAAATCAATGGTTGCAGGAAACATGATATTGGTAATGTCTGCCATGTAAAAACAAAAAAAGAGTGTTTTCCCAATAGATGCATGAAATGGCACTGGGTTATTTTTTTATAAATGAACAAGTGTAGTTTTGCAGTTAGTTTTGCTTATATTCACCCCCCTCTTTGATGCTGCAGCTCTTACTATTCTAGTAGAAACAGTCTGTTTTTCTGATCATTTTCACTGTTTTCAGGCCACACTTTTCTTATAACGCGCCGAGCATTCAAAATATTGGAGTTATTGTGAATGATCTTCAGAGCTTCAGTTCCAATTAACTGCAAGTTTCAGAGTTATCACCAATAACAGCTAAACTTTTTCTCCACCTTTGAAAATAAATGTCAGGGTTCCAAGGAACATCCCCAACAAAATAAAGCTCTGAGGCCTGAGGTTCCTCAAAGTTCCCATTTATTAGAGATGTCATGTTGGCACATCTGGGAAAACAATTTTCCCAGAAGACAATTTTCTTTTTGCTTCTAAACTGCCAATAAAATCTGGAAGAGGTGTTCCATTTTCTAATAACACACTTTCTTTGTTCAAAGAATCTACAGTTGAAAATACAAGAACTAGAAAGCATAATAAATGAAAGAAGTAAAAATCTCCAAGAAAAAGAGAAAACAATAGCCACACTACAAATGAAACTTAAAGTGAGAGGTTCCAGGAGTGAAGTCATCAAGCTTCAAGCTGCATTAGAGGAAAAGGAAAATTGCTTAAGAAATGCATTAAGTGAGAGAGAAACACTCAAGGTATTGTTTGGATTAACATAAATGACTTCTTTGCTTTGATGTTTCATGTTGGGAGTAAAATATTTATTCATGGGATTCACACAAATGCCTTAGACACACTCCTCCTTAAAGAAAATGAAAGTGCTCTACTGTGTTTCCCCGAAAATAAGACATCCCCCTGATAATAAGTCCTCCCCCATAAATAAGCCCTCCCTAAGAATATTTAAATGCATGCACAGCCGGTCCCCGCCATTTCCTCTGGTTAGGGTGACTGAGACAGAGCTGGAAATCAGGTAAGACAGCAAGAGGAGCCCCGTCTTGCTCCATGTGCCCCAAAATAAGACCTCCCCGAAAATAAGGCCAAGCCCTTATTTCTGGGTTCAAAAAAATATAAGACAGGGTCTTATTTTTGGGGAAACACGGTACAACTTTGGCCTCTAGTATTCTCTAATATTTTTTATGCAATTCAGTCATTTGTGGAATCAAACCATGGAAGCACAATTTCCTACAGATCAGTTATGGCACCAACTGATTTGACAGGGTGCTAACTAACTCTGATCTCTTGCTGGATCCAAACCTCCATTTGAGAATGGTCCTGACATTATTACTTTGATCTGAAGAGAGATGTAGTGTTTTTACTAAAAAGTCTATTATCTAACATGTACCAGTAAATATGATTTCATTTTCTAAAGTGCCTATTGGGCACTTGGAAATATACAGCTGTTGTTTTCTCCTTCTCAAGAGATTGTGTTTTGTTCTCTTACTAGGCCCAGGTGGATAAAGGTGTTGGATTATATAAGGAAGAAATTGAAGACCTGAGAACTCAGCTTGCTAAAGCTGATATGGCAAGAATGAAGCAATCCAAATTGTTTGATCAAGAGTAAGTTCCATTTCATTGAAAAGGCAATTCTATAGAGCAGTGGACTCCATGTTTAGACAGACCACTAAGGCATGGAACATTAACCCAATACCTCTTTTCATCCTGGAGCGATCCCTTGAGATGGCATCTCTAGGACTTCAATTTTTTTTAATGCATGCCTATGTTTTTTATGGTTTTGGTGTTCTCGCCTTCAATTTCAAGTTAGAACTTTCCAAATCTCATAAGATCTACGCTATTTTAAAGGTTTCTTTTAATTTCTGAACTCAGTAGCCACTAAGTATAGGACCTTTGCAGACCATGTGTTGGGAATCAAGAGCTTAGGGCTCACCTGTTCAAGAGTGCAGGAACAGCTTAAGAGAAGTATTGTGCTACTATGTTAATAATTCACAGTTCCAAATTGTTTTGCATCCTCCATTCACAATCATTGTAGACTATTATAATTGTATAATTTTAGACTAAGATCATTGATTAATTCAATTTAAAACTGAATCTTCATTGTTCTAGAATGGCAAATGCCAAAGCTCTGGCAGATCATCGGGAACAGCAGTTAAGAAAGTTGAAGGAAGAACTTCGTAAAGCACAACAAGAACAGGATGTAACAGGTAAATGCAAACCAGAGTGTTATCTCCTGGCTGTATGAAATGGACTTTTAAGGTACATCATTACACAAATGATAGCCAAACAGGAAAATATTTTCATCTTTCATACTCATTCTTTCATGTGTTCCAAAAGTGCTAAGAAACACTTTCAGGCAGAGGTGAAATCCAGCAGGTTCTGACAGGTTCCGGAGAACCGGTAGCAGACATTTTGAGTAGTTCGGAGAACCGGCAAATGCCACCCCTGGCAGAGTGGGGTGGGAATGGAGATTTTGCAATGTCCTTCCTCCAGGAATGGGATGGAAATTGAGATTTTGCAGTATCCTTCCCCTGCCGTGCCCACCAAGCCATACCACACCCACAGAACCAGTAGTAAAAAAATTTGCATTTCAACACTGCTTTCAGGGCTATTTTGACAAAGTCCTACTTGAATACATTTCTGTAGATAACATTTCCAGTAGTGCTACTCCTTTTAATCTCCTCAGTCATTTACAATCCTAAAAGCTGGAAGCCTCAAATCCTGTGATAAAAATCCCCAACCCGAACCACGGTCTCTTGAACGTGTGGTCCCAAATTATACCATGTCATGAAATGAGGTGATTTTGAAAAGGTTGTGATGTTTGGATAGTAATGTTGTCATTGGCAAAAGGCTTACTGTCCTGGATCTTCTCATTTTCAGTGATGTCAAATAAAGACCTTCCTCAGCCATTTCTACCAATTACTTGTGGTGGCGGTAGTGGAATCGTACAGAATACCCATATACTAGTGTTAAAATCTGAGCATGCAAAGCTGGAAAAGGAATACGCTCAACTCAAGAAAGAACATGAGCTACTGTTGACGTAAGTCGTCATATTCTGCCTGGAAACATAGCTTACAACGATTGTACACGTTTGAATTTTTCACACAGAACAGGTAGATATGTCTAAAAGAGCCATCGCTGCTAGCGAGGCCCCACCCTAGCTCTGGGGATAAAAGACAGGGGGTGGAGATGAATAGATGTGACAGACAACTATTCATCTTCCGGCAGGCCAGACTTGTTAACCTGCATTGAGAGAGAAACTTTTTGCCGGGGCTTCCGGCACTCCTAATAAAGGAAACTTTTGAGTTCACTTCAGAGGGTTTGTTGTGTTTGGGGAGCTGGGTCAGAACAATTTGCTAGAAAAAGAAAATGAATGGGTTCTGCAGAATAAGGGGGGGGGAAACATCATCAGGACATCAGGTGATTAAATGTATCTAATGTGTGTTTTAAGAAACGACCTTTTCTTGAAAGAAGAAATCAAGAAATGGAAGGAGCGAGCTGTGAAGAGGAGGGAGCGTGCCTTGGGAGATACAGCTGGAGATCATAAAATAAAATCTCCAAGGAAAGCGCCCGCCTCCTCTCTTTCGGCATTGCCAGCCTCTCCCTGCAAGGAGCGCTCCATGCAGCCAATTTTGCCTTTGGATACGCCACAGTTGATGCCGTCGAACACCCAATCAAGTTTCTTTGATAACTCATGCTTAGGTATTACTGCAAGTAAGTAGCAGCATTAATGCATTCTCAGATGCTAAGACGAAGAGCCTATTTTAGAGTAAGGTTGTGTTGTGATCACAAAAAAACTGCTGTGCTTGCCAGCTTGTTTTGAAAGGGTGGGTTTCTGATCCATTTGCTTTTTCTATGGATTGCCAAATCCTACAAAATGTAATGACCAGTAGGAAAAATAATTCAGAAAATCGTAGGATAGTTATTATTTATTCACGGCATGAAGTAGCCAAGATGTCCCAAAGGTGCTTTTTTTCAAGAGGCAACTGGACTTCCTGGTTTTTCTTTGAAGACGTTTCGCTTCTCGTGCAAGAAGCTTCTTCAGCTCTGACTGGATAGTGGGGATCCTTCCATTCTTTCCATTCCCCGCCATCCAGTCAGAGCTGAAGAAGCTTCTTGGATGAGAAGCGAAACGTCTTCAAAGAAAAACCAGAAAGTCCAGCTGCCTCTTGAAAAAAAGCATCTTTGGGACAACCATGACCTGGATGACTGAGAATTTCCATAGAAGTAGCCAGGAGTTTCTGATTTTATGAAATAAGGCCCGGGGGGTTTATATGAGGTTTGTTTATTTATTTATTTATTTATTTATTTATTAAATTTCTATACCGCCCTTCTCCAATAGGACTCAGGGCGGTGCACAGCCAAGATAAAAACAAAGCATACAAAATTTAAGAACAGTATTAAAATAATTAAATATTTTGGCCGAAATTAAGATAACCCAATTTAAAATCAATTTAAAATTTAACTCAGGCCAGCCCAGCTTGTTGAAATAAATAGGTTTTCAGGGCCCGACGAAAAATCCGGAGGTCTGTTATTATACGTAACTCTGGGGGAAGGTTGTTCCAGAGGGTGGGCGCCGTCACAGAGAAGGCTCTCCCCCTGGAGGTCGCCAGCCGACATTGTCTGGCGGACGGCACCCTGAGGAGGCCCACTCTGTGCGAGCGTACTGGCCGGTGGGAGGCTATTGGTGGCAGAAGGTGGTCTCGTAAATACCCCGGCCCTAACCATGGAGCGCTTTAAAGGTGGTCACCAACACCTTGAAGCGCACCCGGAAGACCACTGGGAGCCAGTGCAGCTCGCGCAGGAGAGGTGTCACATGGGAGCGCCTCGTCGCCCCCATAATCCCCCGCGCGGCCGCGTTCTGGACCAGCTGGAGCCTCCGGGTGCACCCCAGGGGGAGCCCCATGTAGAGAGCGTTGCAGTAGTCCAGGCGGGAAATGACTAGTGCCTGAGTGACTGTGCGTAGAGAGTCCCGATCTAGAAAGGGGCGCAGCTGGCGTATCAGGCGAACCTGATAAAAAGCCCCCCTGGCCACGGCCGTCAAATGATCTTCTAAAGACAGCCGTGCGTCCAGGAGGACGCCCAAGTTGCGAGCCCTCTCCGTGGGGGCGAGTGATTCGCCCCCAATAGCCAGCGATGGCGTCAGCTGGCTATATCGGGACGCTGGAAGCCACAGCCACTCGGTCTTGGAGGGGTTGAGTCGGAGCCTGTTTCTCCCCATCCAGGCCCGCACGGCCTCCAGACACTGGGACATCACTTCAAGGGCATCGTTGGGGTGGCCTGGGGTGGAGATGTACAGCTGGGTGTCATCAGCGTACTGATGGAACTCCACCCCAAAGCCACGGATGATCTCACCCAGCGGCTTTACATAAATGTGGAACAGAAGGGGCGAGAGGACCGACCCTTGTGGCACCCCACAAGCAAGGTGCCTCGGGGTCGACCGCTGCCCCCCCGTTTAGAGCCTGTCCTGTCCTCTCCTGGCATCCCTCTCCTGATAACTGATGATTTTGCATGATAACCTCATGTAACTGAAAGCAATAGAAAAAACATAACAGTACAAGACAATTCTTGCACATAGTAAGATTGGATTGTCATAGTCCTCCTGACCAACTTGATGGTGGTTAGGATGCCAGGCTGACAATCGACAGGCTCATGTTCGAGACCCGGTTGCTACTGCAGGATCGGGTGAGTTCCAGTCACATACTGCCGACCCAGCAGTTTGAAAGCAGGTGATCATGAGTAGATGGACAGGTATCACTTTGGTTGGGAAACCTAACAGGGACATGAAAGGAGTCCCCAACAGGGTGCCCCCCCCCCCAGGCAACAGTGTTGTCACAGTTCAATTCTTTCAACACAGAAGCACTTTAGTGCTCCCGACACAAATGTATAATAGGTCTAAGAAAGCCATAGTTTAATTTGCCATTTAGTAAATTACATACCCAGGAAGTAGTGTACCACCATGTTATTTAAATAATCATCTCATCTAATAAGGTTATTAATCTCCAATTCGTGAGAATTAATAGTGTGTGTTTTAAAAATGGAAAAATTCCAAACATCTGTAATCTCTAATTGACCTATTCCCATGTGGTTATATTGTGTTACTCAAATATTTGTAGTTATTTATATTAACTTAACTAGCAACTGTTCTTTCTAACAGACACAAAATCTGGCAGAACAGAATCCGAAGAAAACAACATTAGGAACTGGCTTTCATCAGAAGATAGAGGAGATGTTTCTAATTGCAAGACTCAGTAACAGTCAGATTCTTTCATAGATGATGGACAAGACTGACAGAGGCCACTTCATTTTTCCTTTTCTGGCAAGATGAAACTGATGCTCTTTGAACATACTTTCCATCATACCCATATGTATTTCTTACTCTTGTTTAGTATATCTCCATTAGAAAATTTATTTTGTATTTTTTAACGTATTTTTTTATTTTTAAATGTATAAATAAAATTAAAACTCGGACCACACGTTTTCTGAATAGTTTTTATCCCAGAGCTATAACTGCACTCAATAATGAAGTAAAGGGCCACCATCAGTGAGCTGTTGGACAGTATTACTTGGTCTGTTGTGTGGATGTTTGGGTGGTTTAGGGGTGGGGAATTGTGCTGGGTAGGAGTGTGTTTGGGGATTGTAATGTGTATTGGACCTGGTCTTTGGGTGTTAAGTGAATTTTGTTGTATGGGTATACTGTGTATACACGTACAATGACAATAAAGTTATTATTAAAATATCTTTACATAAATATTTCTATTGGTTAGCAGTGTAATTTTCAGTTTGTTTGATTATAAGTGGGTTTTGTTTATTTGCTTTTGTAAAATAAAGTCTATCAATTTAATACTTTCTATTTGATCCCTAGAATTCTCCCCAAAACCAAATTAGATCTCATTTTAAATACTTTCTATTTGACCCCTAGAATTCTCCCAGAATCCAAATAAGGTTAATGTTATTAGATCTCCATAGTTGGTAACATCTCTCAGATAGACACATGTCTATATGTACAAAGATATACGGTATATGCATCGATATGCCCCCACAAAATGAAAACTGCCTGATCATGACTATAGCTGAAATAATCTTGATAAAATATGAACAATAGACTCAAGATCCTAAGCAGACATTTCACTGGATAGATAAGTAATGAGTATGGAGTCCTTAGTGCTCTCTGAGTTTGGTTGTTTTCTTGCAGATGTTTCATTACTAAACTAGGTAAACCCTTCAGTACTAAAATGGGGTTTGTTCTCTGTTTATATACGGTGTTTTGCCCTGTCAGTGTTGATGAGAGTGTTGTTTTCTAGGTAGTTTCTTGTTTGGGGATTGTTTACTTCTTAACTGTTGATTGTTGGTCTGATATTAATCCTTCTTGCTTATCTGGGTTTTGATTACTGATTCACTTAACCCCATGATGGCGAACTTATGGCACGCGTGCCACAGGTGGCAAGCGGAGTGATCTCTGCGGGCACGCGAGCCGACACCCAGGTCAGCTTCATTGTGCATGCCCGCGCACTTCCCACCAGCCAGCTGATTTTCAGGTCTGCCGGGAGTTGCACACACATTCGCAGGGGGTGGGGATGTGCGTGCATGCGTGGGGGGTGTGGCGCCCCCTCACACTGCGTTTTTGGTTCCAGGAGGCTTCTGGGAGACCTGCTAGCACAGAAACGGTCGCAGAGGGAGCATGGGGGGGTTGTGTGCGCACATGCATGGGGTGGGGCCTGCAGGGGGCCATTGCATTATGGGTGTCCCATGGGGTATGCACGCGTGTGCTGACACGCGCTTTCAGCACCCGAGGAAAAAAAAGATTCACCATCACTGACTTAACCATAGTAAAAAGGATCATTAAATTGGGCATAATTCATTTAACAACTGCCTTGCTTTAGCAACAGAAACATTGCACCTAATTAAGATCATAAATCGAGAACTACCTGTAGTATGTCAGACTACTGTTAGAATGTTTAGAAAGAATATTCTATTTTACACCAGGGGTGTCAAACTCAAGGCCCGCAGGCCGGATTTGGCGCACAATGTTGTCAGATCCAGTCCACATGGCCGTCCTGGACTACCAAGTGGGAAAAGGAAAGATCAGGCCAGCGTAGCTTCAGCCTGGTCTACCCAATGCGAAGAGGAAACATGGCAGCAATTTGGGGAGTGGCGTCAAGCTGGCCACGCCCACCCAGTTGATCACACCACCTAGTCGGCCACAGCCCTGATGCGGGCCTCAATGAAATTGAGTTTGACACCCCTGATTTACACTCTTATTAAGGCTCAGAAACAATGCCTCATTTTGTTTTCTTTAAAATTAGTTGGCCTTCTCACTCTTCACAGGCCTTGAAAGTAGCTTACAGTACCTAAGGAAGCTGGATAACCTGTAAATAGCTTTTCATTAGATAAATATATTCTCAGAAAATTTAATGAGGTCTTGCATGGGAGGAAGGAAGTTCCTTATATAGGATGATGTGAGAATGGAATTTGGTGAATGGGTAAAGAGGTGATATTGTAAAGGAGGGGCTGATTGTAATGTATATAACCTGTGCTGGATGAAGGAGGCTTTTGCAGTCACACATTTAACAGTTTGCTGTCATCCTTCTTGAGTGATGAATAAAGGAACAATTTCATACAGTTGGCTGGTACTTCTTCTTTTTTTTTTAAATCCCAGCTCCGAAACGGACTTGGGTAAGGAATAAAAATATTCCAATACTGCAATCGCAGCCAGGGAATTCTGAGAGTTGATGTCCATATGTCTTCAAGTTGCCAGATTGAGAAACATTGTATTAAAAGAGTTTGGGAGCAATGATTAAGGAACTTGTAAAAGGAATCTAGCAAACTGTAGGAAGGTTGCTATCGTGAAAATCAAGAGGAATAGCACTCTTGGTGATGCAAAAAAAAAAGGGAAACATTGTTTACATATAAGGACATAGGTATACAAGTGTCTTTGTTACAGTGACATGGGAACATGTCAGTGCCACGATACACTGCATCTCCTAATTTTGTCAACTGCCAAGAATTCCTAGCAGGATACTTACTGCCTGGGAACTCCAGGGATAGTAGTCTAACATACTGTTTGAATACAACAGTTTGAAAAAGGCTGGCTGGAGAAAATGGGAATAACATTTTTAAACTGGCATCTGAGAGTTCATTTCTGTATGAGGGGTGAAGTTCATTCTCAGGTATCCACCTCTTTCCTACTTTCATTAAGCAACAGCTTTCCTCAAACAATGAACGTCGATGCAACCAAATAAGTTTGAAATCAGCACTTCGCTAGATGGCAGTATATACTCTTGCCGTGCGGGAACGCTAAAATAAATCTGCCACCTAGTGCACTACAAATCCCATCATGCTTTAGAAAATCGAAGCCCGCCTCCTGGTAAAAAGTCCTTGCTGGATTGCTCCGGTGAGTATCTTCTTTGCAGTCGTGTTGTTTTTGTTTTTGCTTTTTAGCGTTAAGAAACTTATGAAAAGCATGCGAGAGTAATTTTGGCTGCCGGGGTTGGGTTTTGTTTTTTTTTTTTTTTTTTTTGTACTTCCTGAGACAAAAAGAAGTTTGAAAGAATTTTTAATTGCATTAGGTTTTGCCGTGTAAGATATTGGAAGCCAAAGCAAACCGATCCACCCATACTTCCTTATGCCGAATCTACGCGTTTTCTCCGAAGAGCTGATGGAAACCTTGTTTCCAGTCTTGTGAGAAAGATCCCAAAAGATTAAGTTCCATAATGAATTGTGTCATGTCATCAAAGACAAGTAGATATTTTAAATCCCCACGTGATCTTTCAAAGGGGCAAGCAAAATGCAAGCAATTTAGAGCTCAACGCATTGTCCCACTGTGATAAGAGTTTGGTTAATAGTTTGTTAACTAAACTCTACTCCCTTCAATCCAATTTACGGTGTCTGCTGATTCATAAACTAAAGGAGGCTGACTAACCAGAAATAACATGAAACTTTAGCTCTAGTTTTGTTCAGCTTGCTTCAGCCCAGTCCCATCAGATTTCCATTCCTACGTTCATTCTTTTAAGGTTTTATGAGAGGGGGAATGTGGAGGACATCAGATTGGAGAAGATTGTTTCAAAAATGTTGCCACATTAGTTTGCATTTCTTGGCTGGTCCTGGGATATGTGAACTCGAGAGTTTGAGAGAGTTAATTTTTTTTTAATTTTATGAGCATTCATTCATTAAAAGTTTTTCAATGCCTTTAATTAATGATACTGCGAATCAGCCAGGATTCACAAAATAACAGGTATCTGAAGCAAAAGCAAACTTGAGAGGAATAACTTTTGTCATATGAAGCAAGGATAGGAAATGGGTTTGTTTTTTTAAAACCAGAGACAGAATTTAAGAGAAGTCGATGTTTCTTCCTTATGAAAAATAATTCCATTAACAGTTTATCTTGTAGTGCCTCATTCTTTGAACAAATAAATCCTCATCCTTTCTTATCTGAAGAATAAAACTCCTTTGACATTTTGATCAATAACTGCCACAAATATTTGAAAAGTTGCTTTCAGTCAGGAAGACTAACTGTAATGCTGCAGATCTCAGTTATGTATAATGTACATCATTGGTTTTCTACCTGTGGTCTGTGAACTCTTGGGGGCTGTGATGTTACACGGGGTTTGCGAAGATTTGAAGAAATGTTATTATTTAAATAGGGACGCAGTGGCTAAGGTGCTGAACTTGTTGATCGAAAGGTCAGCAGTTCAGCGGTTTGAATCCCTAGTGCTGCGTAATGGGGTGAGCTCACGTTACTTGTCCCAGCTTCTGCCAACCTAGCAGTTCAAAAGCATGTAAACAATGCAAGTAGAAAAATAGGGACCACCTTTGGTGGGAAGGTAACAACGTTCTGTGTGCCTTTGGCGTTTAGTCATGTCGGCCACATGACCATGGAGATGTCTTTGGAAAGTGCTGGCTCTTCAACTTTGAAATGGAGATAAGCACCGCCCCCTAGAGTCAGGAATGACTAGCACATATGTGCAAGGGGAAACTTTATCTTTACTATATTATTTGTGTTCAGTTTTGTTTCTGAGGAAACGCAATGGAAAAGATTGTACTTCTTTTTGTTCCTTTTTCAAGGACTCAGGTCAAGTAGTAACCCTTCAGAGCATGTTTTCAAACTTAGCAACTTTAAAATGTGAGGATTTCAACTCCTAGAATTCCCCAGCCAGCATGTTATTATTTCTTAGAAATCCCCCTTTAAACTTCCTTGCCAAATATAAAATTCAAAATCAAGTGAGCATAAAAGTGCTTTTTGGAGATAACTACAGATTAAAGAGTGGAGTGATCTGCTTCATATTAAAAAGAATTAGGTTATGCAATTAGATGCTTAAGTAACCCATTCTCAGACTCAAAACATTCAAATAACGTGCAGATAAATGAAGATCTGAATTGTTAATGTGAAAGTTGTCTTACTATATTAATAGTATCCCTCTAATAAATCTGTTTGTAAATTAAGTTCTAAAATCAGCTTTATAATCATAACA